ACACCACCTGGTGTGGCCGGCCTGACCGTAGCGTGGGTGAAACACGGCGGTTGATCACAGTTAACCTGCGCAGTCGGTGAGGCTGTGTCGTCCACACGTTTTCCGGCACGTTTTCAGGCACGTTTTCGGGGCACGCCCGGGCTGTAACCGGCATGCGATGAAGCCAAGCATAGCCCGGTCTTTGCAAAGCGGGCCAAGGCCGTCTTGGCCGTTTGTACGCCCGTGCCACCCGGCCGAGAACGGGGTTGAGAGACGATTCTGCAAGGAGCCGACTTGGCAACGCGCCGGGTCCGGTTTCTGCCCATGGCCCGTACCGTTCCTTGTGGAAGGTGCGCCGAGGGCGGCAGGCTGGTTCGAAGTATGGTCGCTCCGCAGCTACACGTGCTACACACATGCCGGCTTTTACAACTTCACAGGAGGGTGTTGAGCGGTGGGGTTCAACCGGCGCGTCGTTTTTGGGGGGCAACGTCGGTCGGTGGGACGGGGCGGACGGAGAATGTACGGGGATGGTGAAAACTGACAAAACGGCCCCAGTTGCCATGGCGGGTACTCACTCCTTACGTGTGTAACCCACACCTGCAGCCATTTATCACTTTTGGCACGGGTGGATGTCCATATGGCATAGATTGATCATTTGTCTGACCCGTTGCTGGGCGCCCGTGTTGAGAGATCGTCTTGATACTCAAGGATCCCCGGGAATCAGTAGAGGTTACATGCTTTCCTTTTCTTCTTTCTTGCGCGGCAACTTCCTCTACCCAGCTTTTGATGGCTACAAGGTGGGAGAGGAGTAGCGGGTAATACAACAGCAGTTGCCTCGATACTGGACGGTTATGCGCCGAAGTGTGCACCGGTTTCCACTATCAAGGGAACTATAATGCTGCTGCTCGGTAAACCAAAAAAAAAAGGTGCAGAGACGCCGAAGTAAGTCGGCCTTCCCCTATGCACAATGTCGACCCCTTGGCCCAAAACGCTCGGTCGGTTTGGTTGGCATAAACGTGAAGGATTAGAAAAAAGACGCCATTCGTCGTGGATAAGGATTCTCAAATGTACATGACAAGTAAATTTTTGTCGACGATAAGGATGTGATCTCCATATCCATCCTCACCTTCACCATTATTGCCACCATGACGTCCAGGTCCGCGTCTGAAGGGTGGGTAAGCATGGGAATGCGTGGGTTGAATGTGTCATGCCTAGCTGCCAGTTTCTTTCTCCCTGTCTCTCGGATGGCGGAGGCTATTTCCGCAGGCGGATTAGATGAAGGGATGCTGTAGAGTATCACAAAACAGAACGACCTATACCCATTCCCAGCTATACCCCCGTCTCCCAGTGACACAAAGGGCAAAGACAAACGAGATTCGGCGCTTTGAAGTCGCACCGCCTGTTCTAGTGTCAGATGACGCGCCAGATGCGGGGAGGAACTTTGTCGTGGTTGGATTCGTCCCGGAAATGGCCAGGATGGGATGATGTCGAGTTCGAGTAGTAGCAGCGGTGCTGGCTAGCAGGTAAAAGGAGCGAGATAGACTCGAGGAGAGGTGAACCGGTGAGCGGTGCTACGGATCACAACGAAAACAACTCGCGCGGGTTTGGATTGCGTCAGCCGCGCGGCGTGGTGTTTCTGCTCCGCATGTCTTTGTGGGAATGTCTCAGACAACACAGGTCCCGGTTGGGATTTTGGTGCCCGGCGAAGGGAAGGGGGGTCAAGGGCTGGGTGGGTGGATTCGAGGGCGTGGATATGAAGGAATGGGTATGGTGTGGTGGATGGGGATATGGTGGAGCACGGGAAGAAAGAAGTTGGCGTATTTAGGAGGCCGTCGTTGGGGTTTGTTGACGTGGTTTAGTTCGGTTTGGCAAGGGGGAGAAAAAGCTTGTCTGGATGCTAGGATGGTGGTGTCGTTGATCAACGATAGGCTGCCGAGGAGACCCGAGGAACTACTGCAAGTTTAGTGCCGTTCGGTGTCGAGTTTTGTTGACTGGCGCCGGTAAGCGTGCATGTCCCGCATGCGACTCTACCCATTTCTTCCACTCCATCACCACACGGCGGCCGCTTATCTGGGAACATCCAGTCACCCTACAGGGTGCATATGTACGCACGACGCAGCTAAAGGAGAGAGAGGAGGGAAAGGATGGGCAGGAGGGGGCTCCGGGAACTCGGACTGGCTTCCCAATTCCCGGTGGAAGCCGTCGAGAAACGACTGGCTGTTCGTTCGCTTCCCATCCACCCCCTAGCTCGGATTGTCTCGCCGAAGTTAAAGATAGACCCAAGACAATGACACGGGACGAACCACCACACGGGCTGACATACGTTAACGCTACGCCAGTGTCAGAAACCGAGACATATAATTTGCGGTTTGACGGGTCCTTCGATTCCGGGGGCCTGGCTGGCCCGCTCGTCCAAAACGTCGACTTGCATCGTCACATCGTTCGCCCTCCTCTCTGGAAGCCCCCCCTCCTCCTCCGCGGGCCTTGGTTTTTCAAACCCTGATCCCCCATCTCATGGTGCTCGCGGGGCAGCACCAACCATGGATGGGATTTGTTCGCAGTAGTCATCTCCATCTCTAACCATTTCTCGCCCGGTTCTCCCATCCTATCCCGTGCTAGCTCATGCCACGCCATAACGCCGCGCCCCCCCCCCCCTTTATTCTCCCAACGCTAGGGACCATCGTGCCACGTCGGCCAAGACTCGGGATTGATGGCGTCTTCCCCTCTGCGGGCTTTGGTGTTGATCGGTCAAAAGTTGCTGAACTGAGGAGCTGAAGAACAATGAGCAGGGGGGAGCTTTCCTTCCCAACTGCAGCAAGCTTCCCCGCATTCCCGTCCTGTGCCGCGGCTGGAGCTACTAGAAGGTACCTAAGCTCCACAGGGACCGTTAGCTCAAACTCACGGCTGACCTGACTCGGACATCCGTGGATGAGGTGCTTCTCTCAAGGTAGCATTAGAGGCCTTGCAGCGAACTGCACCAACTTGCAGAACGGATATCGCTGGCTGTTCAGTGGAGATATCTGGCCCCCGCTCTGGCTCTGCAAATTGAATTTCGTTTCTCTTACACATGGCACCTATTCCCGCCCACGCGACTTGCCGCACAACCCCGGTGCGACTTGGAGGCTGGGCATCAAGACTGCAGTTCTCCCGTTCCCGTCTCCTTTCCCCACATGTTCCATAACCCCATGTTGCTCTGCGGCGTTGTTGCTGTGAAGCTGTTTCCTGACGTCGAATGCGGGGGAAATGCAAACAGCTGAGTGGTCCCTGCGAACTGCTTGGCAGGCACCTTTACTGGATTGTACTGGATGGCGATTTCCTCATTCGCGGGGAATTCCGTCTGCCGAGAACAACTTTCGCGTTAGTTCAACAGGGAAAGCGCGACCTAGTCAATTGTTGGGAGCGACGGGAGAACAGGGGTCCATTTCCCTCGCTGGTTCCTTCCTTCAATGGGGAGAACGGGCAGTTTGGAAGCGCATGCACGGTTCACATTGCGTGATGAGCTGCTTCCCGCCCCGCCGGCCGAGCCGGGCTGCTGGGGCAGTGGCTTCTTTCCAGGTTGTTTCCCCTGCCGAGAGCCCAGCGAGCCAGCTTGGCCAGCGGCACACCGGGTCGGCTTCCTCGGGTCTCGGTGGCGCGCGCTCCCCACCAAAAACCAAAACCCGAGCTGTTGAACCAACGAACTGCATCCAATGGGCCAGCGGGCTGCAGATTCCATCTCACTTCAATTCAACTCACACACTCAGACACGCCACGCCACGCCTCACCTACAATCAGTAAATTTCATGTTGTAATCTCCTTCTATTCACTCAAACTGACACACAACAACGCACCAGCACACCACCTCCCTGGAAAACGCACGAGCCAACCGAATGCTTTTTGACCGGTGAAGCCTGAAGGAATACGACGAAAGGTCTAGGATTTATGAAAGTTGTCTATCAACCTATCCAACTCTGGGTTCGCCTTGCCAGGCCTCCGCATCTCAAGCTCAAACCACCGCCGCCGCCGCCACAGTGATCATTATCACGACCAAGGAAACAGGGGGGAAGAATACCTGATTGAGTCATTCCCGCAACTTGCTCCCCTTGACCCGGAGATCCGCGTTCTCTGGCTGCCCGAACGGCTTGCTCGTCTTCTCAGCTCGGCTTTGGCCCCAATCTCAACTCTCTGACCCGGGTCTCTCGCATATTACCGATCATAACCTATCTCTCTATCTTGAAGGGGAATTTGTGCTTCAGCGCTTGGACTCTACATACTATCTCCTCAACAACGGAGTTTTGATTACAAACAGCAAGCCTTTTATCCCACGCCTCGGAGGAGCCTGCAGCAAGATATCTCGGCCTGCATAGGTTGGCTTGGCTTGGCTTTGAGATTCGCTGAGACTTGACCGACGCCCCCCAATTGCCACCCATCCCTGCCCTGCGGTTTCGGTAGGGTTCATTTTTTTGCTCGGCCCACGGTTCTTTTGGTCCGAAGAACGGAGGCCCGAAGGCGGGGAACAGCGAAGAGAGAAAAGGGGACCGAGAGAACGAGAGGACTGTGTGATTGTGTGGTGGCAATTTGCAGCCACCGGTCAGGTTGTTGTTGTTGGAAAGCCTGGTGGTGAGATTAGGCGCCGGCAGGCAGGCAAAGCCCACACGATTGGCGTTGGCTGGGGTGGTGTGCCGTGATTATCGAGTCCTGGGCACTGCGGGAATATCGCGGGATATCGCGGAATACGAAGCCGGGATAGAACGGAGAGAACAGAGAGAAAGGGTTAACGGACGCCGTGGACGAGCGCCCAACGGTTGATTGACCAACTAGCGGACGTTGCGCGAAACAAGACGAACCCGGCGTGAAGAAGGACGCCTGGGTGGCTGACCAGGGTCCGACGGAGAAAAGAGAGTTACGAGATCGCAGGATTATAGGTCCAGTTACAGGGGGGCCAAAGAGAAAGGAGGGGAGACTTTGTTGGCTGGGATTTTGCGTGTGTTAGAAAGTGTGTGTCTGTGTTTCTCCCCCGCGCGCGGTTTACGCTCGTCAGCATGGCTAGTCTCGACGATCTGAAGCCCGGAGTCGATCCCGACAGGTAGGAACCACCTAGCTTGGCCTCGTGACCATGGCGAGGATATACCAGGCAAAAGAGGAGACGAGAGAGACTCTGGGGAAGCAGGGAAACAAGGCTGACGCTGAGAGAACCAGGCCTGTTCACATCGTCTTTGTTGGCGCCGGGGCTGTGGGGTGTTTCTACGCCTCGAGGCTCCACCACGTAAGTTATCCCCTCTTCTGGATGCCCCTACCTACCCTACCCTACCTTACCCTATCCTCCTATTCCGCCTCCTGCAAGCCCATCACAGCTCACAAGGCCTGTTCTCCGCTGACCGCTGACGGCCCCAGCCCACCCACAACATCCACGTCTCGCTCACTGCCCGCTCCAACTACAAAGCCCTCACCGAGAACGGCGTCCGTCTGCAAACGCACACCTTCGGTGACTACACCTTCCGCCCAGACCATGTCTTTCCCTCAGTCACCGCCGCTGCGGCCGGCTCTCGCCAGTGGGACTACATCATCGTCACCACCAAGGCTCTGCCCGACCGCTCAGACGACAGCGCCCTGATCGCCCCTCTTGTCGGCCCCAACTCGTGTATCGTGCTGATCCAGAATGGCGTCGGCGTCGAGCAGCCCTACCGCGCCCGGTTTCCCACTAACCCCATCGTTAGCGCGGTCACTATCATCTCGGCTGAGCAAACTTCGCCCGGTACCATCCGTCAAAACCGCTGGACTCGCATCCATCTCGGCCCCTACTCCAACTCAGCCTCCTTTTCTTCTCCCTCCTCCAACACCCCCGCCTACCCCCGAGGCGACGACACGACCGGCGCTCTCCTACCTACCGGAGCCTCAGCCTCGGCCTCAACTGCCTCTTCCCAACCCGCAGCCTCATCAAACCCTACCGACAATGATGACGACGAACATTCGCCCACGGCGATCCTCCAGCGCACCGGTGCCCACCGCGCGGCCCTCCTCTCCGACTGGTGGACCCGCCTAGGCCAAATCCGCGACGTCGACCTCGCCGCCGACGAGATCGCGCTGCAAACCGTCCGCTGGCACAAACTCTGCATCAACGCCGCCTTCAACCCCTCCGCTGTCCTCTCCGGCGGCCGCGGCAACGCCGACATGGTACGCGACGCTGAACTGCGCGCCCACCTGGCCGGCGTGATGCGCGAGATCTGGGCGGCTGCGCCGCGGATTTTGGGAAGGGAGTTCCCCGGGTATATGGCCGGGCCGGAAAAGATTTTGAAGAGTACGGAGAGGAATGTGGGGAGTAAACCGAGTATGTTGTTGGATTGGGAAGGGGGGAGGCCGATGGAGGTGGAGGTTATTTTGGGGAATCCGGTAAGGATTGCAAGGGCTAGGGGGGTGGAGATGCCGAGGTTGCAGACGGTTTATGCCTTGGTGAGGAGTTTGCAGGAGGTCAGGGAGGGGAAGAAGGCGAGGGAGAAAGGGAAGCTATGATCATGGGGTGTTTGTTTTCGATAATTGTCTACTATGTTGATAAGGGGTTGGGAGAAGGGCATAGTTGGAAATTGGAGGATAGTTGGCTTTTCGTAATTATTTAAGCTGTAAATTGATCACATCGAGTCTACTCCGCTTGTCTACTTCCTCATTGTTTGCCGTGACGGCTAGTATTCCTGTCTGCCCGCTTGTCTACTTGCTCATCGTCCTCCATGACGACTTTGGTAGTCTTGTCTCCTGACTTTGTTTGGCCCAGGGGTTGAGTGCTTTACGGCAACATGGAGTCCCCGTTTCGACAAAGTCATAAGTCACCGACATTGGGTTATTAGTGCAGCCTTAAGAGCCGTAACGGTTAATGAAAAGGAGTCGTCAATTAATTAGAGTAAAATAATGTAGTTATTTGAGGATATGCAGTTATTCCCTCAACCCCAGTGTTCAGCTAGGACTAACGTCGACATCCTGAACTATGTAAGCACCTTCCCATTCTACACCGAGTTACTTGTCTAGCCACGTAAGTATTAATTAAACTGCCAGCCCCCAAAAGTGCGCTAATAGATAACGAAGACCCCTATGTGCAGGTTTAGATCACAAGTACACTATGTTGTCAAAAGCCAAGCCAAGCCAAAAAAAAAAGCCAAGCCTCCTTTTCTCTAGTTCATAACGGCACGTTGTCCACCCATAAAGTGACCACGCCATCCCTCTTTGATTCCTTATTGGCTTCGGACTACAAAGAACAAGACTTTAGCGAGCTCTAGTCTTGACAATCAGGGGCCTTGGTTTGTTCTGTTCCCAGAAGAAAGGGGAACGCTTGGGGCCGATCGGTGAGGATGCCAAGGGGAAGGGGGTTTCTTGGTTTTTCTTGGTATTCTTGGCTTAATCTCAATGGGTTGTTTGTGGCTTTGGGGCAGTGCATGGATGGCATGGGACATCTTGCAAAGGTTGTTAAGGCTAAGAGGGTAAAACTGTAAAGACAATGAGTTGCTCTGCTTTCCTTGGGACAGGTTGAGGGTTTTTGTGGTTAATAGAGGTAGAAATGTCTTTGGCATCTCTTGAGATCGATATGTAATTACGCTAATGCGAAATCGCTGGTATTTTCCTGCTGTAATATCTTCGTGGTATCGTCCAAAGTGCCCGCCATTTCGGAACGGAGGTAACGCTAATTATCAGGCAAAGTGGTGGTAACTAGTTTTGTAATGTAGGGGTAGAAGTATATGGACAATTACAGTATTCTAGACTTGAAGGACATTCACCTGAGTGAGAACACCATAATAGTGTATCACTTGTATCAAGAGTATCACTGGCATGATGTTGAGTTGCTTGCTTAGCAGTATTCAGTTTCGTTTTTTTTTTCTTCCTCTTTTTTTTCTTCTCTTTCTTCTACTACTTCTCCTATTTTCTCTTCTTCCCTTCCTTCCTCCTCCTCCTTCTTCTTCTTCTTCTTCTTCTTCTTCTTCTTCTTCTTCGCCGTAGGATAGAGGCAAGGTCCAAATATCAAAGGAAAACATCTGCCCTCCTCTCTTTCCCGTGGCCCTCTCTCCTGGCTTTCCACTCAAAGAAGAAGGAATATTTTCTCAATCTCATACTTATTTCCTTGAACAATTTGACGATGATAGGAAGTACGACCGTGTTTTTGAACTTAAATTCCGGGCTCTACTTCGCGAGATTCGACGGGAAAACCTTTTCGGTCCCTTCACGGGCATTGTATGGACCATCGAGCAGCAGAAACGAGGTCTCCCTCATCGCCATATGTTGGTTTTCCTGGCACGGGATGCCACACTGGGTTACCTGCGGCCAGAAAACGTCGATCGTCTTATTTCTACGGAGATTCCTTCCCCCGAAACTGACCCAGATGGCCGTTTAAGGGCACATATCACGGCTACCATGGTCCATGGTCCATGGTCCTTGTGGGGACGATAATCCTTCTGCACCTTGTATGTTCAAGGACCCGAAAACTCAAACAATGCGGTGCTCCAAGGGTTTCCCCAAGGAGTTTACGGAGACAACCATGGTGGTGAAGATGGGTATCCAACCTATCGCCGCCGTAATAACGGGCAATTCGTTACTCGCCGAGATGCCCAAGGGCAAGATGTTAACCTGGATAACCGCTGGGTTGTCCCGTACAACCCATACCTGTGCCGTAAGTACATGGCACACATCAATGTGGAGATTTGCGCTTCCGTGAAAGCAATCAAGTATAAGACTTACCTGAGGTTAGTCTGCTGGGAGGGGTATCCTCAACTTTTAATTACGTGTCAAGCGTTACAAGAGAATATTCATAAAAGGTTCCTTCCGAGTTAATTAGAAACTGGAATCATGATGGTTAAACTTGTACAGAACGTGCTAGTCCCGAGAATGTTTACCTATAGGAAAAGTGTAATGGAAAGAGAGGAGGTAGGCGAGTGGAGGCATAATCTTGTTCAACAATTACTAGTATAAAGGAAATGCAGAGCAGGCAGTATTAAATAACCAGTCCTTGAATCATTGTGATTAACCACCATGTCCAAAGCATTCAACGCTTCCTTGTGGTAAAAGTTGCAATGTGGTATCTTGATTGATGGCTTCTACTTGGAGTATCACTAACAGACCCTTAAGTGCTGAGGTCTCCTGTTTACCGTTCTTGATAGGTAGGTGATAATCTAATGCATTTTTCTAAGTACAAAGGCACACAAATGTTAAGGGAGCAATAGTGGCAATAGTGACATAACTAGTATAGAGAAAAAGCAAACCAGCTTCTTTCTAAGCCCCTTATTTCCAGCCTCCACAAAGCCACTATGATTGCAGAACACAGACATTTCTTCCCCTTAAGCATCCTGCTCCAATTTATTTTACGTTCCTCGAGTAGTACCTTTGGAGTACATTCCAACAGTCTCAACAACCCTAGAAATGAATTGGCCCGGGAGTTTCTGGGTTGTCTCGTCCCTCAAAGTCAGTATCCTCGCACTTGTGCTCAAGAATCTATCTCTGAACACTTCCCAAATTGCCATGTCCCTCTCAAACTTTGCGCCCGGGTTAGGGTAAAATGGATCATTACGCCAAAAGCACTCGGCCGCCCGTTCGATGCCCTCAATGGACATGGGAAGCGGTCGGCAGCAATCAAAATCCAGAATCCATAGAACATGGGGACCAAGTACCTCGGGAGGAAAAGTTACGAGTTTCAGAACCGTGACGATCTTGGGGTGGAAGGGTTTCGCCTTCTCTGCGGTCGGTATGTTCGAGGCAACCCAAAGCGCGTGGTTGGGCGGGGACAAACTCAACATCACATGCGTCAATCTGCACATCCCAGAGCAAGAATGCCAAAGCGTCCGCCATGGCGCTGGCATATTCCTGAGCTGGGAGACCGAGGGCATCGAGCTGATCGACATGAAGCGGATAATTGCGTAGGCTAATGAGTTGCTACGTCCTCCGCCGCGGTTCTCCGGTTGCAAGTGCGGTCTCTGGTTCCCCTGGCTGGGCTGTTGTCCTCCGGCGGCCGAGATAAGGGCGGATTAAGCAATGATCGTTACGCCTGTCGTTGAGAATCGTATCTCTCTTGTTGATTGGGCCGTCCCAGAATTGCTCAACCAGTAATCTCCGGACTTTGTACGGCATGATGGGGATCCGTTCACTGACGAGGGCCTGACAAGCGGAAGATTCGGCGGGCAATCGGGGGAATTTGTCGTTCTAGATGGGTATCTCGGGGAGAAGGAACTCGATATGTTGCGGGATATTGAAGGAGGAGGCCCCCGCAAAAACATTTTGCGGGGTATTTCTAGCCCAGGACAGAACGTGTTTGTGTACTTGTGCTTCGTTTTCGATTGAGCGATCTGGAAGGCCATCGGCTCCCTTCAAGACAATCCTTGAGTAGCACTTGTCGTTGGGGGACGGCGAGGGATCAGCCCAAACACTGCCACAGGAACCATATCCAATTCTTTCAAGCGGTGTGCGGTCACCCAGGGACATGCATACACAACCTCGACTCCACTCACTGCTGACTTACTTACACGATTCCATCCAATTCGAGTCCTTTTGGGGTTGACATTGGCTTACTGTTTCACAAAACTTGGTGGGACGCTTCCATCTTCACATCACATTGCTATAGCTGTCCTACAAGGGCTGGCACAGTTGTTGGATCGAAAACAAGGGCATTTAATTAGGTATCGTAACCGTTCCCAGCAGTGCTTCGGTGTGGTGTGTGGCCAATTAATTTCGAGGAGTGATGGATGACTTGGAAATAAAATGAAGCGTATATTCCTCGCTTACCCCCCTGGGCAAAGAAGAAGCCAAAGAAGGAGGAAAGGAGGAAAGGAGGAAAGGAGGAAAGGAGGAAAGGAGGAAAGGAGGAAATGAAGTAGTAGTAGTAGAAGAAGAAGAAGCAGAAGGACGAGGGGGAGGAGAAAAAGATAAAAGCAAAGAGGAAAGAAGAAAGAGAATAATATAACGAAAGAGAGGAATAAAAAGAGAGCCTAGAAATTATATTCCCATCATATTTCCTGGTCTACATTACCTATTCTCTACCCTAATACGAAGACTGGTCCAACCCTCTGATTCCTGATTACCAGGTGATATAACATAAGGCCAATATAATGTATTCCAAAGCAAACACCAAGAGATGAGAAAACAAATCTATTAAATTCGTTGCTCAGTGCCATTTGTCGCCATATCTTCATTCCATTACACCACGCCCAAATTCTCAAAATAGGAAATTGACTATATAGGCCCTTTAACCGCTGTAACAAGCCCACCATTATCCTACAATGTACAGACTTACAATCGAGGTAACAAAAGGACCAAAGCCGATAAGCCGATGCCATCCCACAACCCTCATGATTTCATGAACGTCTCCACAACCTCCATAGCTGTGGCTCTACTTATCTTGTCTTTTCGTTCTCAATGGGGGGCCCCGGCTTCGTTCCCGTGATGACGACGTATCGCCAGTGTTCTTGCTCGAGCCACAGCCGCGCGCCGGCTACAGTGTTGATGAACCAGCGCTCCAATCCCAGCAGCTTGACGAAAAGATAAGGCACAAACGCAAGGACAAAGAAGAGCCGTACCATGGGGCGGACGTGAGCAGAGAGGTCCACCACCTTGACGTCCACAAAGCCAACCTCTTCCAACATGCCGGCGAACGTACCCCTAAGCGAGCGCTCGTTGGCAGGCATGGACGACCACTTGTTAATCAACCGAAGATCAGTCTCCGCAGTCTTGGAAATTTCCTTCCCCGTACTAATATCCTTCCCCGCGCCAACAGTGTGGTCGTACTCAAACAGCGCCACCTTGCCTCCCGGGCGGAGAAGGCGAAAGAACCCGGCTAGCACACCAACGGGGTCGTGGGAGTGGACAAACGTCTCCATGGTGTAGACGCCATCATGAGACTCGTCCGGAATGGAGTCCAGATGGTGGTAGTCCATCCTACGCACATCAATCTTTCCTGGCGGAACGCCGGCCCGGGCAATGTTGCGCTTGGTTTTGTCCACGTGGTGGTCAATCACGTCGATGGCGGTCATATTCAGGCCGTGTTGTGCCATGTTAATGGCAACCAGGCCAGCGCCGCAGCCTGCATCAAGTACCCTCGAGCCCTTGGGTAGATTTAACTTGGAGAAAAGAACCTCCTCCATGGCCTTGAGGCTCTTGGTGACTGGGAATGGCCACAGTGTATCTTTCTCATAGTATCCGAAATGGCGTCGGCCACCGAGCACAAGCTTGTACCCTATCCGCGATTCGAAGGAGTCGTAGTAGGTTTTGAGAACCGGGTCCGGTTTAATCAGCGGCTCCGTCGAGTCTCGGCCGGGTGCGTCCATTGTGATTGAGAGCTGGGGCGGAGGCCGTGGGTAGAACGAGTGGGCAGGTTGCGTTGGTCGCGTGAAAGATCAACTGGTGGCTGGTGGCTGGTCGCGCGGCGCCATCTGTTAGCTATCTGCAAACGAGCGAATGTGCGTCACTAACAAGCTCCGCTGCTTTAGACCCATCCCCGCCTTTCCAAAGCTTGGTATCGCAACCCATTGGACTTCGTCTCCCCGTACGGGCGCTTCCGCCCCGAGGTGCACTGGGCTTATTATGAACAGCTCACCTGCATGGTGGGGCTACCCGTCTTCTCGCGAAAAGTTATCGCGCGCCCCTGGGACCGGCTCCCCTCTAAGTCGTCTTTGGTCATCGACAAAACCTTACTGATCCCGGCGTTGGTCATCATGACCGGATTCAGCATCTTCCCGCTCATCGTATGGAACTTCCATTTCCCCACTACCCAAGAACGGCTCGTCTGGCGCGTTTGCAGCGTTTATCACGCCGTTTTCTCCATCACTCTGGGCATTTATTATGTCGTTGCTGCGGTGAAAGCGCACAACAAAGCCGACAAGGTGACCACTTGGCCGCAATCTCCCAAGCCCTCGGAGGTCGAACGTTGCGAAGCCGCCGGGAAAGACACGACAGAGACGACACAGGCTGGCAAGATCGGGTATGATATGGAGGCGGCCGAGACGACCCCGAGCCAGACGCAAGAATATGTCGGATTCATCGTTATTCGCGCCACGAGGATAAAAGCCTGGCTGAAAAGCTGGCACAACATTTCGCCCGATGGCGACCCAGAGATGGAGATCGGTCTTCAGCCTCAATTTCTGTCCTTGTGGGGTCGTTTCTGTACATCTTGTGCCGGGCGTTTTTCTATGCGGAAGATTTCGTTTCTATCAGACAGCAGCCAGCGGGGGTTTATGTGGCCATGAACAAATTTGTTCGTTTCATGAATTAATTTTGGACCAATATTCTTTCTTTATGTCCTTTATTGTGTTATGATACCAACCCCGTCAGCGAGGGGCATCACAGAGGTGATGGACGCATCAGCGTAGCGGAATGAATTTTAAGAGACGGATACCTCGCTTCGTTTCACCGCGGGATCGACCATTCTCTACTTCCTACCATAATTATTGCTATTCGCTCGATAGGGGTGAGGATTATCCTGGTCGAGTGACTATTGGGCTAGGGTCGTCCATTCAAGTGGGTATTTTATTTTCGACTTTTTTGAGGTTCCCATCTGGAAGCGTGGTTCACCATGGAAACCTTTCCACCACGAGGAAGGCACGCCCAGCAGGTAAGCCCCTGAATCTCGAGCCAGATTTGGGTGCGGGAGAACCCGTTTTGTTTGGTCCTGTCCACTAACATGATTGGCGGTCCTCGCTAACGGTACCGGGATTTGAACCCACGTGTTCAGGGACTTGCAAGTTAGCGGCTCTTGGTTTCATCTTTTTGGAGGTCAACTTCTCCATTCCGCACACCGCGCCTCCTCAACTCGTTGGTACGACGGCACAGCCTCATGGTGTGGTACAGACAATCCTGAGGACGCACCCGGACTTATCTGATATTCGAGGTGTAAGGCACCAGTAAATCCTTCAGGTTGTAACTTTTTTTGAGGCCGTGCCAACCTCATCTTTTTATACTCGACATTCGTGTTTATCTTCATTTTGCCGACTCCTTTCATCTGGCTGCCCTTCACCTCATTCTCACCCGCCAAATTCGGACGTCTTATATCACAACACCTACGCACCCCGATACTACGCCACCCCCAATATTTGCGTCCGCTCATTTTCACCATGGGGGGCATTGTGTTCAGCCCCGACCTGACCGTTCCGGACGCGTTAGTGTTGCGAAACCTGGCCGACGACATTGAGCGGCACAGGGCACTTAAACGGCGAGCAGACTCGGGCGATCGCGATGAGGGATACGCCAGCACCGGCTCATCGACGGCCGCTAAGGATGCTACCCAAGGTGCGTAATGTCGTTTGCCGTTTGCCGTTTCACATCCCGGCTTTCACAGAACCAACATCCAGACAACAGAACCGGTGACTGACTTGATGCACAAGCACCATAGAGGATTACGGCATCTCAGCAGAGCGGGATGCCGAGGACGTCGGCAAGATGAACGGGCTCAACGACCCGGAGAGCGAGGACTTTGAGCCCACGGTGATCTCCATGGTGGACCTACCCGACATCAAGGCCCGGCTGCCGACGGTGGTGTACGACTACGTGGTGGTGCCGTACATCGCATTGGCGCAGAAGGTGGTGCGGCACGAGACAGACGTGGTGATGTTGACCCACCTTTTGCTGTACCTGGGCACCTCCCTCCCGAGCGCGCTGTTCCTGTTCTACCGCTTTAGCTACCTGCACGCCATCATCCACGTGGCTATGCAAGGCTGGTACATGGGACCCTACACGCTCATGATGCACCAGCACATCCACATGCGCGGCATCCTCTCGCGCGACGGGCCGTGGCTGCTACGCCTAGTCGACGCTGGCTTTCCCTATGTGACCGACCCCCTGATGGGCCACACCTGGAACACGTACTTCTACCACCACGTCAAGCACCACCATGTCGAGGGCAACGGGCCGGACGACCTGTCATCGACGCTGCGCTACCAGCGCGACGACTGGCGCCACTTCCTGCACTACGTCGGCCGCTTCCTCGTGCTCATCTGGATCGACCTGCCGCGGTACTACCTGCGCAAGGGGCAGCCTGGCAATGCGGTCCGTGCCGGCGGCTGGGAACTGTCCAACTATGTGGCCATCTACGCGTGCTGGTGCCTCAACCCGCGCGCTGCCACCTTTACGCTGCTCGTACCGCTGTTTTTCATGCGCATTGCCCTGATGGTCGGTAACTGGGGCCAGCACGCGTTCGTTGATCGGGACGAGCCGGACTCGGACTTTCGGTCGAGTATTACCCTGATCGACGTACCGGTATGTCCTCTCTTACCTTACACCTCCACATCTCCCTTACTAACCCAGCCCACAGAGCAACCGCCTCTGCTACAACGACGGCTACCACACCTCGCACCACCTCAACCCCATGCGCCACTGGCGGCACCACCCGGCCGCCTTCCTGCGTCAAAAAGCGACCTACGCAGCCGAAAAGGCTCTCGTCTTCCACGACATCGACTACTTCATGATGACGATGCGCTTGCTCCGCCGCGACTATGCCTATCTCGCTGCGCGGCTGGTGCCGGTCGGCGCGCAGATGGATTTGACCATGGCACAGCGGGAGGAGTTGTTGAGGGCGCATACGAAGAGGTTTACGGAGGAGGAGTTGAGGGTTAAGTTTGGGGGGAAGGATGCTGAGGGGGAGAAGTCGAAGTAAGGGGGGATATTGTTAGGCTGGGTGTTGTTGTGGGGGGGGGGGATCATGCTTGGAGGGGGATGGATAGATAGAGTCTGGGATAGCCAGGGAAGATCGTCTGGGTATTGAGAGCCTTAGATGGTGCGAGGAGGGTGGAGGGGACCGAAAAGAAAAAGATTAATAATAACAGCTGCACCGCTTTGTCGGTGTAGTGACCTGCACTCTGAGAGGGGTAAGGGGTAATAGCTTGATAGATAGGTTCAGTTCTACGATAGACATAGAACCCGGTTTCGGAGGCGTATAAAGAGCTGAATGGAGTGGTTGTCAAAATCATCATGTGATAGAATATTAGAACAAAGCGGTGCCCTGAAGCCTTGCTTTGCACAAGGCTCTCAGTCACTTCCTTCCTGTGGATGTCCCTTCTCGACTCCTCACGATGCGATGTGGGGTTTGAAACGATGCGATATTCGGCTGGCATTGTGGGCGTGAGTGAGTCGTGTTGGAGTATGGGAATTGGGACAATGGCTCGACGGCGAGGGGCGGAAAGTGCTTGTGCTTGCGTGGAAGAACTGGATTTCTTCAAGCTCAACACCCCAGTTTGAGAAAGAGGCGTGCGTCAAATGACACGTAAATTAGCAGGTATGGTCCAAAACAACCTGGAACCTGTCAGTCTGTTACACAACGTCCACGAGTAAGCTGACCACACTTGATATGAAGAAGATGGAGGGGAGGAGCAAGGAAGCTCGTTTACTATAATAAATTATTACAATGTCGGAGATTTGATGAGACAATGGCTCCATCGAACTGGAACTCTTGGATATGTAATATCCGATCTGGACATTTTCCGACGCGTATTCGATATCGGCCTCGTCTCAAAATCAAAACGGCCAGGCCATCATCAACCGTGAGTTTTACATCCCATCTTCTTTCCCTCTACACATTGAGAGATGTGACCTGCTAAAAGTCAAGTCACAGCCGTTGTCAGAAGCGCCTGGAACTTCTCGCCGTTTGGTGGTTGTGGGGGTTCCGCTGAAGCAACCCCTGTCCAGAGGGTTGCATCGGTCCCTGACGTCCACTTTTTCAACGGAAAGGTGCTCCGAAAGGTGGCCCACCGAGACCCCGAGCCCCCCAAATCTCCAAATTCGACAGGACCCTTGAGCGACGGGATCTGGGAAATGATGAAACGATTTGGGTGGCCCACAGAGGCCTCCCGATTGTAAAATGAAAGTTGTAGTGGGGTTAGTTATTTTGGGGAGCGGTTTTGGCGAGTGATACGGTTGAGTTTCAGCATTGGGTTCGGCTGGTTTCGTTGAATTCGACAAAGTAAAAGGGCCCCCCAAACGGCTGTCGAATCTTTCAGTGCTGTTTATCACTGGAATGACGATATTCGCCTAGCCCCTGAAAGAAAAAGGGGACCTTGAAGACACGCTCTAAGACCAAGGAACTGCTTTTTTCGAGACAGAGACAGACAGAAAGACAGGCCCACAGACCGACAAAGGTCCAGCAAATGGACATTGCTACAGACTGTCATCCATCTCACCGCTCACTGGAGAAGAGGCCCGCAACCCCTCAAATGGTGCCCCCAAAATGGTCCTTAAAGTGGTTCCCCTCAAAATAACCTGGAGAACCTGGTTTCCCAAGAAATAGGCGAAATGCAAGGGCAGATGAGGTTATTTAAGCGCGCCGCACCCGCCCGCACCTGTGTCTGTGTGTCCCTGTCGGTTTCAATGCGACACTGACGTCGGCCACACACACAACACACACACTCCATCCCGTCCCAATTCCGTTTTAATCTTGTGTCGTTAATCAGCCCGGGTGGATGTCGTTAATATTCCTGGCCAACGTTAGGTAGCCCTTCCCTGTTTTGCAATCCGTCCCTTATTCCTGGCGTTACCACCGAGTTGTGGCTGCGCACACGCTGGTCATGACGATGGGCCTTTTGCCGTGATGAAGCCCCTTTTTTCTCTTTGGATGTTGGGGATTGTGTCGTGCTTGTTCCACATCGTCCTCACAACACATCAGCCCGCCAACAAAGGGTACAGTACATGTCGTGAGCACCCAACACAACCAACACAACCAACATCACAGCCAACATTCAATCCGCGAGATATCTGCTGTTGGTGGTTGTTGGTGCTGCTGCTCCGAGATTGACAAACGCGGTCTCCCGTCCCGCAGCTCTGTTCCCCATCTGAACCAAGCTTTCTGGCGTGTCTCAGGTCAGTTCAAAGGGACCACAGCCAGGGTAGCATGGCGCGCTGAGCTTCCCCAGCTTAGGGGAACAGGGGCCTGGCCTGTGGTTCAAACGCCCCTTCACGATGCGATGCGGTGCAGCGCAGTGCGGCTGCTGCTGCAACGCAACCGTTCGGGCCAAGGACGAAGTATCCGTAGTGCCAGGCCTGAGTTGGTTATCGCGCGGGTATGCTGTGGTCTTGTCACACACACGGCCCGGCCCTCATCCCTCCCATCCGGCGGCCCCCCTCGCTGAGTCGTTGTTTGCTTAGTCGCCCGCCCCCATGTTGTTGTGAGGACCCGCGTGCCGGGCGTGAAGGAGTGTGTCGCCCGGCCGAATAGACTAGCTGGCGTGTTTCTCTCGGCGACGGGGGGAGGGAAGGGGGTGAAGGGTGAAGGGATGGGGAGGGCCGCTTTTTATTTATTTATCTGCTGCTGCTGCAAGGTTCGCAAGCGGGTCCTCCCCCCCCCCAAGAAGATCTTCGACCAGGAGCACACACACATCCATCCTCCGCTTCCCTCCCTCTCGAACTTTCTTTTCCTCTTCTTCCCTTTCTCGGCGGCCTGCTTCACCTTTCTCCTTCCCGCATCCAGTTTGGGTTTCCCTTGTTCTCTTCCTCCCGCACACACCTTCTTCCAAACACCAAGCCAAACGACACTGCTTGTTCCATCACCAGCACGCTCGACACTCCAAATCCGCACCCTTTACCTAACGTAAATCACGTTCAAACCACCGCAATCATGCCTGGCATTCGTAAGTAGCATTCCCTGCGTTTGATGCGTGGTTTAGCTGTATTTTTTTCCGTTTGATTTTGCGGATTGTGGCGACGACAAAGTCGGCTGGTTCGAGGTCTCCCGAGTCAGTCAGTCGGCGAGTCGAGTCGAGTCGCTCTCCTCCGAGTCAAACCGACGAGGCGGTCAACGGCCGATTCTCACCGACCGACCGACCAACTGATCGACGGACCGAGCTTCGCGTCCGTGACCCCGTTTGATTTTGCTTGGGGATAGCGACATTTGTCGCGGTCTCCCAGTCGAAAGAAGAAGAGGGCACGGCGCGTCGCAACCGCTGGCTTTACCGACGATCTGTCCTTCCCAGGCGCTGCCGAGAATCGACCGAAACCCCGTCAAAAGTAACTAGTAATCAACACCGAGAATGGCAAATGACTGACTTGAATCCCTTCCAGCGTTTGGCGCCCTTGACAACTTGAAGGGCAAGCTTAAGGCTGCCTTCAAGAAGCGTGGTGAGAAGAAGGCTGCCGCGGCCAACAAGACCGAGGCCGCTCCCGCTACCGAGACGGCTGCTGCCCCCGCTGCCGCTGCCGGTACTGCGGCTGCTGCCGCTGCTCCGGCTACCGAGGTCGCGACTACTGAGACTGCTGCTGCCCCGGCTGCTGCCGCTCCGGCGGCTGAGGAGGCTCAGGCTGGTGAGTGATTCCTTGAGCTGGGCTGATCTGATCCGACCTGGCCTGATTTGACCCGGCCGGGCTTGACCTGGCTTGACCTGGCTTGGTTTGGCTTGGTTTGGCCTGGTTGGTTTGATTGAATCAAACTCGGACAGCATCTGTATCTGGGATTCGTCCCGGAATGAATGCCCTGATGTGAGGGAAACGAAGAGACGTTAACATGGTATTTGTGCTAGCCGAGGGCGCCGCTGCTGCTGCTCCGGCGGCTGCTACTGAGACTCCAGCTGCTGAGGCCCCGGCTGCTGCGGGTACGTTTTGACTGTTTTTCATCCTTTTCCTGCTTTGCTGGTGTTTCGTCGTTCCCCCAAGAGCGCAAACACAATGCTTTTTGGTCTGATTCCGATTCCCGCTTTCACTGCTAACACTCAAACCCAAAACAGCCCCGGCTGCCGAGACTGCGGCCGCCCCCGCTACTGAGGCCGCCGCTCCGGTCGCCGCTGCCCCCGAGGCTGCTGCGGCCACTCCTGCCCCTGCGGCTGAGGCCACCCCGGCTGCTGCGGTTCCGGCTCCGGCCGCTGAGACCGCCACCGAGGCTGCTGCCGAGCCGAAGAAGGAGGAGGCCGCTCCGGCTGCGGCTGCTGCTGCTCCGACCGCTTAATTTCCTGAACCGATAGTCACACCTGCGCGCTAAATCCCCTTTTGTTTCTTTCCTCGACAATTTGATTCCGAGAAATCGAACGATCGAGGTGCCGAAACGACCGATCGATACCCGCACGAGAACCTTTTTAAGACCTCCTTCCACTTTCCCGCCCCGTCCTTTCTTTCTCTACTTCGATGAAACATGACGGCGATCGAACTACACACAACGGAACCGGGACGGTATTTAGAACGGAACTGCTGAACAACAATCGATATGCGACGACGATGATGGGGAAAATAGGCTAGGGAGAAGGTTGTTGGGGATTTCAACAAAATTCTCAGATGAGGGGGGAAACTGAGCGGGGGGGTCCAGGCGTTGTGGGGATGACAGACGGTTACAGGAAGGAGCGAGGGGGATGCGAAGGATACGGACACACGTGGGCTCGGTTAGGTTACTGCAGGTAATTGGGGCGTTGAGTTTTCATTTTTTCCGTTGTTTTTTCCCATCGCGTAGTATTGCCAAGTTGGCATTTATACTCGCATGGGTAATGCAAGCAGGGCAGGACACTGAGTGGTGATGGACCTACGACCTGCGAGCAGAAATGGGGAATACGGAAATGGAATGATAAAACCGAGGATGCCCAATTCTCTCTCTCTCCCTTAAGGTGCCGGTAGTGCTGGTACTGCAGAGTGAGACGGTAACAAACTGGCGCCGTTGCGATGCTTTGGTTTTCTTTTTTTTTCCTTCCGCGGGAGCTGGGGCGCGTGGCTTTAAGATATCCCATACATACTCGATACCCGTCGTTAATAATGGATCGTGTTTCTGAATTTGGTCTCTGAGAGTGTTGCTCTGTTGGCGCGAAGATCGGATGAAATGGTATTGAACAATTACTCGCACACCAAACAGTTTTGATCCAATACCATTAACTATCTAACATTGTAAATATTCCACATATTTCACACCAATCCGCCTTAGTCTTCATCTTCATCATTAGAATCCGAATCATCACCAGGATCCGGCATGACAATGCGGTTGAGATGGGTGATCTGTAAAAGAGTCAATATAATATCCAACCTCAAACGGAACAAGTTATGAATTGAACAGGTGATGGAACAGAAAAGGACTCACAAACTCAAACATATCCCGCACCACACCCGCCACAACCTCCTGCCCCCCCTCGTCCGTAAACACCCCATCATCAAGCTTCTTCCCAACGGTGAAGTTCTTCAGTTTCAGCAGCTGCATATCCCGGTGCTCGGGGTTGAACCCCTTAGGCCGTGTCTTGAGCGCGCCGTCCTTGTTCCTCTCCGCAAACGCCTTGACCGTCTTCTCTTCCCACGTCAGTCCCTCGTCCTTTTCCTTTTCCACCGCATCTGACTTCCTCCCTCCCCCTTTCTTCCCCCCACTCTTCCCCTTCTCCTTGGTGTTCCCTTCCCCATCATCCAACCCCAAAAACGTCCCCGCAAACTCCCTCCCCCCCAAAACTCCCCTCCACCGTCCCGGCCTCTCATCAATACTCTCCCTCAACCTCCTCAACGCCCCCGCATCCGGATGCCACAATCCGCCCCCCAAAAAACACTTCCCATCCGGTTCCACATGCACATAGTAGCACGCATAGGGGCCCTTGCGGCCCGTACGGGAGAAGGCGGCAGAGAAATGCGGTTTGTAGGGGGTTGGGTCGTGGCTGAAGCGGATGTCGCGGTAGATGCGGAAGTTGATGTCTTTGAAGGGGAGGTCCGGGATGGTGGGGTCGATGGTGGTGATGTGGGTGGTGAGGGTGGTGAGGTAGGTTTCCCAGTCTTGGAGGGCGCGGCGGTATTCGGCGTCGTGGGCTGTGCACGTTAAATTTCAGCAACGGGGGTTTTAAGAGAGGGAAAAAGGGGAGAGGGGGGCGTACACTTGAGCCAGGAGCGTTTGTTGTTGGCTTTGAGATCGCGGAGGAACGCGAGGGTGTTGGGGTGCAGTCGGTCGTCGGCGTACTCGATGCCGCCTGTGTCGCGGAGCTTGGGAAGCGGGATGAAGGTTACCTGGGGCGGTGCGTCGTCGTCGGAGTCGTCGTCTTCATCCTCGTCTTCGGGCTCGGCGTCTTGGGGTTCGTCCTGGTAATCGTCCCCGTCGTCGCCCTCGGACTCAACTTCGACCTTGGCCTTCTTCGCAGGCCGGCCCTTCCCGCGGGATTTCTTCGACACCACCTCATCACCCGCATCAGCCTCGGACTCGGAATCCGCGTCAAAATACTGGCTTTTCTGCGCCGATGAGCTGACGCGCAGCGACCGCCGACGCCCGCCTCCCGTGTCGGTAGCGGTAGTGTCCTTGACTGCAGACTTGCGCTTAGTGCCAGCCATGATGGGAGCCGTACCAATGCGATACGGAGAATGGACGTGAATTGCGACCGCGATGGTGATGACGTCGATGGGCGCAGGACGCGAGCGCGAGATTACGCGCGTTCAGCTTACGCGATGTCACGTGATGTATTATCTAACCCACCATTTCGCCCACCCCATTTCGAGATCGAATAAGGGTCTCTGTACGAAAGTACTTTCTTTCACAACAACATTGGGCTGTCTATCTGTCTGTCCACCCAGTCCCGCACAACCACAATCACTTCGTTCTGTTCATGAAACTGACCATCTCCTGTAACGATGCATCTACTCTCAAGGCAAGATTTAGGCTGATCGCCGGCCGTTTCGAAACTTGATGATACCGTACCGAGATAGGTACCGAGACGCAACGTTGTATCCGACCCTAAGCGTCCCTCGCAGTGTTTCGTTCAATCGTTCCCATCGCCGGACCGGCAGCGGGGTCCGTTCCCCACTCGTTCTCGTTCGGCGCCGGCCGTCCCCCGCATCGGACGGTAACACAGCGGCGATGGGCCACGAGGTCTGAAATGTACTATGGAGAATGAACCCCACAGCAAGTTGTGTTGTGCCGTGTGCCCGCGTGCTCTCCACTCATCTGTAGCCAAACCACGTTTTTCTTACATGTGAGCTGTTGGAGCGGTTGCATAAACTACCGGCATAAACCACCGCGGGACACAAGCAGTGCGTGTGATCAGTCGAGTCGTCTCTCCCATACCACCACTGCTCGGTTTTCAGACAGGTCAAGCTGCACAAGTCACAAAACACTTTCGAAACTCCTAACTTCGTACAACCGTACAACCGTACAACCATACACACAATCGTACAGTACAACCACCAGCAAAACACCATGACTTCCTCCGACCCCCACCCGCACCTCACCTCCCTCCGCCGTGACGGCTACGTCATCCTCCGCTCCCTCCTCACGCCCCTCGAAATAACCTCCCTCCGCGCCGCCGCCGCCGACCTCACCAGCACCGCCCGCGCCGGCGGCTGGCCGCACGTCCGCACAGTCGGCAAACAGTTCCCCCCCTGGGACGCCTCCCTGGTTCCCTCCCAAGCCGGCATCTGGGGGGTGCAACACCTCCTCCACCCGGACCTGCCCGTTAGCGACGATGCGGGAGGTGGAAGGGGGGCGTTTGCGAGGGTGTATTTCCATCCTAAACTCCTCCGTGTCGCGCGGGAGTTGTTGTCTATCCCCCCGCCGGAGGCAGATGAGGCAGACGACGGCGCAATGACAATGGAACTCTTCAACATGCTCGTCCAACCCACGGGCGTCGGCGTCGACCCCACCACCCCTTTCGCCCTCCGGTGGCATCGCGACGACATCCCGTGGACCGCAACACCCGAGGAAGAACTCGCCCACCTCCAGCCCCCTTATTCTTCCTCCCCCTCCGGATCCTCCCCAAAGTCATCCTCCTCCAACCCAAGTCAGAGCGAAGATAGAAAATACACCCACACACAATACAACCTCCCCCTCTACCCCGACACCTCCCTCATCGTCATCCCCTCATCCCACACCCGCGCCCGCACACCCACCGAACGCGCCGCCGACCCGTACGAGGCCAACCTCCCGGGGCAAATCACTGTCTCCCTCGAGCCGGGGGACGTAGTCTTCTATGACAACAATATCCTGCATAGGGGTGTGTATGATGTGAGCAGGGAGCGGATGACGCTGCATGGGTCGGTGGGACATGTAGACGCGAAGGAGGGGAGGGCGAGGAATGTGTTGCAGCATGGGGTTGGGGGATGGGTGGGGAGGTGTGATTTTGGGGTGCTTGGAGGAGAGGATTTAGAAGAGGGGAAAGGGCAGAGGGGGGTGGCGGAGGGGATGAGGAGACGGTTGGTGGAGTTGGGGAGGGAGAATGAGGGGAGGGATGTTGGGTTTTCTTTGGAGGGCTGATACAGGAGGTATGTATCGTTGCGAGGTAGGGAAAGAGACAGAAACTGGGTAGCCAGAAAGGCTGGCTGTGTTTGTACTGGGCGAACCCGAAAGTATGTGTAAGCGAACGAAGTATGTACAGTACAAATTGATGATCCACATCCTCATCGTATGTTCAACATGCCCATCGTATATCGACATCACCCCCCCCTCCCCCCCTCGTTTCATATCCCCCTATCCATGCTCCCTTCACCCCCTATCCATTTGCTCGTATGGTTTGTCCAAGACAGCTAAGCCGCCTTATAAACAGCCACATTCGAAGCAAACGTATTCTCATTCTCCTTAAACCCGGCCACCTTCTTCCCATCGCGGTTAATCATCTCAATCGTCCCAATCGTGTTCAGATTATACAACCCAACATTCGACACACTCCCCTCAATCGACGCAATCCTCTGCTGGCACGTCTGGCCCGCATCGAAAGTCGAGCAGGAGGTACTGTAATCCGAAAAGAACGAGTACAGACCGCCACCGTACACCAGCACATCGCTGGAGTCAAGGATGCGCAGACCCCAGGCCGCGGCGCAGTTACCGTCGACGCCGGCGCACGAGGCGGAGAAGTCGGGGTCGTTGAGGGAGGTGTTGGGGGTGAAGGGGACGAGGGCGTTGGGGGTGGGTTGGTAGTAGGGGGTTTCGGTTTGGATTTGGCCCATGAAGATGTTTTTGGTGTTGGCGAATTGGTATTGGTAGAGGACGAAGTGCTCCGAGCCGGTGCCCCAGAGCCAGAGGGGGCCGTTGGTCGACTCGACGTCTGAAATGTTATTAGCAAATGGTATAAGACGGAAGAGAGAGAAAAGGAGAACGTACAGAAACCGCGACCGGCGTAGAGGGTGATCTGGGTGTTGGACTCGTCATCAATGTCGTGGTCGGCCGTCCTACGTCCTGTTAGCTCACGTCCACTCATCACTCATCACTCATTAAAGGGACCCAAGAGAAACATACCAAATCCAGGTGTTCTCAAAGTACACACCCGCCGCCTCCTTCACCACATGCACCCCCAAATACGCCACCAAGCACTTCTCATTCACCGCCGGGTTGCCAGGCGTCTTAGGGCACTGTCCAACCTGCTGCTCCGTCCCCGAGAACCCACCGATGCGCACATGCACATCCCACAGCCCACTGGGCTTGCCACTGTCACTGGCCAAGTTCCACCGGATCGCCACCGCACCCGCCTGGGTGCCCTTGGTAGAGACGATAAAGTCGCTGAGCTCGACCTGGCCGGTTTGGCCGGCCGTAGCACCGACTTGCACGATAGCCTTGGGGTTGTTGACGTCGTTGAAGGCGTCGCCGGAGGACAGGATCACGGGGAAGGTCTCGCCCACAATCTTGGCGCCGGGGGGGATGACAATGGTGTCGGTCACGAGATACAAGCCGTAGTCGATGAACAAGATCTGGCCGGCAGAGGCAGCCTTGTCGATAGCGGCCTGGAGCGCCTTGGTGTCGTCGGTCTTGGCGTCACCCTTGGCACCCTCCGAGCGGGCCGAGATGATGGACGAGGCAGCGACGTCCTCGTACTGCGGCTTGGAGCGGGTATAGTACCGCCCACCATCAGCCAGAAGAGCCGCAGGCCGGCTGGGAGCGTCCAAGGGACCGGCGCTGTTGTCGGGGCCGCTGCCGTCAGCGGCGTATTTGTGGCCGTTGCCCCAGGCCGCGATGGTGATGGAGCCGCCTTCGAGGAGGGTGCTGGAACCGGGGCCCTGGACGGCGACGGGGACGTTGCTGAGCTCGACGTTTTCGATCACCAGAGAACCGGCGGTGACCGGGCTGGTGGAGGTGCTCCAGGCGGTGAGGATGGCGACGCCGGTGTCCTTGAAGGTGCTGTCGAGCAGGGTGATGGAGCCGACGTTGAGGGCGTTGGCGTCGCCGCCCGCGGACATGTCGATGCCGACCTTGCAGTTGTTGATGGAGAGACCGGCGTAGGTCCAGCCCCAGTCCCAGAGTTGGATGATGGCTGTTTTTGTCAGTATTTTAACTTATCCCCACCGAGGGAAAAGGGGAGATAAACCCACCGGTCTTGCAGTTGTTAAACTCGAGGTTGCGCATGGTAAACTGCTGGTTACCCATGCTCGCACCGGTAGCACCACCGTTAAAGGTCAAATCCGTCAAGAATCCACCGCTGCCCTCCTCCATGAACAGACCGACGTGGACCACATCATCGGTCTTAGGCATGTTGAACACAATGTTCTGCAGACTGGTGGCCTGCGACGTAGGCCAGTGCATACCGGTAGCCGCGGTACCAGGCGCGATGTTGGTGGTGTCGATGATAAAGTTGCGGACCTGCCGGAAGAAGACATTCTGCGATTTCCAGTTGAGAACCTCGGTGTAGTACGGGTCGGCGTCGATGAGCCCGAACCCCTTGAAGTCCGAGGTGGCCTTAAGCGTCGGGGGGCTTGAGGCGTCGCCGATGAGCTGCGTGAAGTAGGCCGGGTTGACGGGAGAGGAGATCAGGTAGGTGCCCGAGGGGAAGTAGATCAAGGCCGGTGTCTCGGTGGTCGAGACCTGGGTAGTATCAGTACCACGTATCGACACTCGTTATCACTTATGGAGAAATCGACTCACACAGCCCTTGTTGCAAGGGTTCCCATCGTTGATCGCAGCATTGATAGCCGCCGTGTCGTCGGTAACACCATCACCTAGACAATGCATCAGCCACGGATCCTTTACTATGATCCGACCGTATCGTATCATATGTACTTACCCACAGCACCGTAATCCTTGACACTGCGAAATACCTTCCAGTCCGCAGACGGGGCAAACGGGGCAACGCCCTGGTCTATCAACCAAACCAAGTCAGTAAAACTAGACCTCTCACGACAAAAGCACAACAAGCAGCAGGGTGCCTCACGTTTGACTTCTCCCAGCCAGTGGCCGCTCACCGTCGCCACCAGGCTAGCCGCAGCCAGCACTGCCGACGCGAAACGCATGGTGATGACCGGTCCTTTACCAAACCGAGCAGAAAAAGAGAAGAGTCAGAAGAGAAGAAACCAAGAGAAGAAAGCCGACGAATCTGTTACCCGCTGCCGGGCAATGGGTTCTGTCGGGAAAACTGAAAAGTCTCCTGGCATAAACAAACCCAAGACGGAAAAGAAAAAGAAGGGGGTGACCGGGTAATATACTCGTTTGAACCGACCACACCACAACCACGCTACACACCACAACACCCCATCACTCCCCCAGATTCCAAGACATCGCAAAGTCCCCTCCCCCGGCCGCTGAATGAAACACCCCCTCCCACGTGTGCACGGAGCTAACCACGGCGCAGAGAGAGGTCCTGTGGTGTAGTTCAAAAGACCGGGCCGAAGAGGGTGGTAGTCTGCCCCGGTACGGATAGAGGAGAAGAATGTAGAAAGTCCCCCCTATCCCCCTTTACGCTTGACGCTTTACCCCTTTCCTTTCTCACCCCCCACCTGCATGAGCCCCACTTACTTACTTCGTCCTTCCCTTCCATCCTCACATCGCGAACCCATGAGATGAGCCGCATGCATCGGTAGATCCTAGAGTAGAGTAGTATTGTAGTAGCGCGCGGTGTTGGACGGGCACGCACCGGGGAGTGAAGTGTAGTGTGGATGATCCATCATCCAACACATCATTCAGATACCGGAGAATGCGGTAGGTCATCGGCAGAATCCCACGTGCCAGGTCTCCTGCCCCCCCTTCATTCCCCATTAAGAGGAGCCTCGCATCAAGATGCAACTATCACCAAACCGCAACAAGACGCCAACCAACATTTTTACACTGCAAAACAACATAAAGGGCCCCGGAGTTCACCCACCAAAGGGCCGATTGACGCCCTGCGAAGCGCCTTACCGCCGCGACCTCACCGGCGAATGCGACCCGAAAAGAAAGAAAACGGCCCGGGCAGGGTCGTCCTAGGGTTGTGTTGTTCAAGCAACGATACTTTGGTGCCTAGTTTGGGGCCCTGCTTGGCGGGGCCGAAGGGGGTGGACAGTGGAACCCGGGAGGAAGAAAGGGTGACAACCTTACGTTATACTAGAGGGATAGCAACTTGCTATTTCCAGGGCTACTACCAGGCTGGGAACGCTACTGTCCCAAAAGAGCCGGGAACTGTGCGGTACTACACTACCACCCTCTGCTTCTGCTTCATTACCTCCGGCTCGGCGCCGATAAGCTTCGATTTTGACAGGACAACCATCCTTTGATGAGGGGATTAGGGGGGCTGCACCGTGGACCTTTCGGCCTGAGCATGCCGCATCAGGTGGTATTGTGTTTGTTGGAGCATAAACTTGTTTCTTTGAGACATAACGTAGGGAAATGAGGCATCGCGCCGTAGCCTGTCTAAACTTCACTCGTTCAATGCTCACTTGAGGCGGTCTCAGCCGCTCGGCTGACCGACGATTGAACAGCTGAACACACCACACTGGTGGTCCTATGACTTGGTGACCTCATCATGAAGCTGAGTTAGCCCCAAGTTTACAAAGTCGTTAGTGTAGTGTAACTCAAAGTAAGAGCGAGAGAGAAAAAAAGCCTTAGCCCGTTTTGGCTTTTGATGAAGGGGTCAGTTGTGCCCCTGAAACCGGATCGCGCGTCTCTGATTCGCCCAAGCGGCCCAAAGCTCCTGGTGAGTGCCGGCGGTTGATGGAGGGGCGAATAAGGCCGGATGCTACCCAGCGACCGCTGCGGGTGACCCCAGGTCCCCAACCCGCGAATCGCAACACCGATCGCAAAAGTCATGACCCCGTCGTCTGCAGGCCCGCTGAGACCTTCTCGCACTTGCTCACATTCTTGCCTGTCAGACTATCCGACCGTCAGGTTGCAAACACTCGGGAGGCTCGCCCATCCGGCCTGCAGATGTCACGTCACAGACACAGGACCTCACTACACCATACTAGCATACTAGCAGGTGGAGCGCGAAGGAACCCCTCATACCTGGATCCCCTCTCGCCTTGCCGATCGGTGCCGGGACCCGGGAGCGTCAACTGCCCTGCGAGATATTCCCGCCCGGGAATTTTGGGACCATGGACCGGGCCTGCTCCGGGCGTTGGCCGAGTTGACCGAGCCGGCCGAGCCTAACTCATCACGTGCCGTAGGGACCTCGAGAGAAGGGGTTGCGGGCGTTTGTCATCAGTACTTCGTCTTGTAAGACGACGGCCCTTCTCAAGCCACGGTGATATCTCGGGCAGTCCTTTCTCGATCTGGTTGACCTCACGCCAACGGGCCATGAAAGCTGCGGCTCTGATTTGTCTACCGCTATGGCATCTCTCCGGCTTCGTCCCTCGAGCGGTCATTAAGCGCCCTTCTTACTTTTGGACCTGAGAAGAGAGGTCCGAAACAGCCGGCGGTGAGTTCTCGGCGACGAGAGCCCCCCCTAGAACCTCCGAAAAGCGGCCAAAGCAGACGAGTGAGTTCTGACGTTCGTGATATTCCAGCACGTAATTCCCTCCAAGACCATGTTGGTGTGGTTGGGCTATGTGCGGAAGTCGCAGCGAGGTGAGGTGGCCGTGGGCCGACAGCCGCTCACCAAACGGCGCTGATCATCAAACCGGGCAGATTTTGCCTATTTGAAGCGAAACCCCGAATCGAACGCGACGGTGTCTTCCCCGAAACACAACGACAGGTCAATGGGACACCTGGAAATAACCAAGGCGGCTCAGGTGTGTTCGTTTGTTAGATGTGCGCGAGACCCAGTTCAGAGAAAAACAATCGCGACGGTGACTCACGGTGTTGGCTGCTAAAAGAACAAACTTCAAGAGATTAGAATAACCGTCGGTTGTGGCTACACTAGGTTGGCGCGACGCTAATAAGGCCTCGTTCGCGACGAGAGCCGGTGGTGGTCATTCCGAGTCGAAATCAGGTACTGAGCCGGGCCGCTCGGTTTCCGAAGAGGCAGGCAAGCCTGTGACATTGCTGGAGGTTGGGCCCTGTTTCTCCGCATTTTGAGAACTTTGCGGGGGGCGCCTTCCCGACAGGGGTAAAAGCTTCCCCAGAAGGAGCTTCCCCAGATCTCCAACCACGCACCTCCACCTCCACTCCCCCACAGAAGCTGCCGTTACGAGGAGGATCACAAGCGACTTGGGAAACAACACGTAGGGAGCGAAACGAGAAGAACTGCTGGGCCAGATTGATGAGAAAAATGTCCTGTGGTTTCTAAACCTTGCCGAATTTCTGATAAAAATGATAAATCGTTCTCTTTTCGCACATATGCCCGTACTGAGCGCGGGCTTTACTTCCGAGAGCATCCGTCAGGGTCGCACATTTCCCTCGGTTCCAGGTTCCGTGAAAACACCTGAATGAGCGATCTGGGTTGTGGGAGATGCCCAGACGACGCACCCCGCTTTTCTGTGTAACCCAGGCCTCCCGACTCGAGCACGGCTGTTGTGAAGCTCAAAATTCGTTCTTTTGATCGCCATGCCCACGCCATGACAATCCAGAGTGTGTCGAGGAAATAAATGTAGGAGCCGTAATAATAAATCCGGTCAACTCGAATCGGAGGCTAAAATGCGGCCGTGTAGAAAGTTGCTACATGTGACCGGTAATCGACCCGTTACCTTACGTACAAGAATAACAACAACCTGGAGACGTCGTAAATTCCCATCGCGAAATCAATAGGAAGAATGAGGGCTGCCAACGAGCCGGGAGAGGAAAGCGGTTGCTTTTCATTCGAAACTCGCTCTGTTTTTCGCGGCCGAGCACCCTTCATGCAAGGAGCCAGACCCCAACCACAATTTTTGAGAGCCGGGTTGAAATCTTCCCCGCCCCCACATTTGGTGCGGAGATGAAGCGATGGAATGGTTCCAATGAGGAAGGAACGGGAAGCCATGGTGGAGCGGGTGGAGCAGGCCACCCCGACAATTCTCCCCGCTTGGGGTGCCGTCATTGAGCCATGATTCTCTGAAAGGAAACCACAGCACACGACCTTGACAAATTATTGGACGCCAATTATGTGCGCGTTTTCTCTTCCCTCGAAAAGCACCTAGCTCCAAGTCCGCCGGTCAGGGAAGAGGACTTCGGATCTCTTGATGACCCCGAGAATAAAAAGTTGAGCACGGACAGACAAAGCTCGGCAGGAGGGGAGCTCCTCCTACCTTCTGGGAAGGCTCGTGGAGGCAGGCAACGCTTTCCATGTTTTCTCATGCTGCAGGGATGCGTGGCCGGGACTCGACCACAGCATTTGTCGCGCCTTCTCCCTCGCTGCTCCCCTTCCATGTTTCCACCCCAGACTTTTCCGCTGCGACTACCGAACACAAGGCGGTGGTCCCCCGTTTCTCCATCTGACGACTTTCCCCGCGTTTGCACCTTCCTGCAGCAAACCACACTGTTCCTCTTCCAACCTGTTACCTACCGAGTTGCCGACCTAGGTATTCAACCTCGAACCACCCCGACCCGCTTTGTCGTTGGCCCTTCCCACAGCCCACTTTCCTCTCTTCTCCGTGCGGTGTGGTCTTCTCCCGTTCCAACGTTGCCTTGATATTACTTCGTCACGCTCACGCCTTCCCTCTTCTCCTCACGCGGCGTTTCCAAGTCCGCATTTACCCAATCTCGAAACATCGACACCGCTCTCTCCCGCCGCAGTTGCAGGCGCCAAGGCCCAATCCTCGGAAGATCTTCGATTTCCCGCCATCCACAAGTGACGAGCGGCAAAGCTTTTGGCTTGTGGTCAGGCCTCGTTCCCCCGCAAACCTTTGTGGAGGACTCGTGGGACGGATTGCCGGTCCTCTCTTTCCTGGGCCGCCGCTTACCCCGCTCCCCGCCTGACGCTTGTCTCACTTCGCTGTCTGCGTCTTCCATCCTGTTGTTGTGTTGGTACAAGGCGCCCAGAGCCTGAAGAGCACCAAGGCTTCGGCGGCGACACAAAGATCTCAACCAGCAGACAGACAGTCCCATCGAACTCGACTCTCCTCGTGGCACTTGGCCGGCGAGGTAAAAGCGGCGACGGATGCAGGAAAAGGGAAGCAGGTGGTTGTCGTCTTTGTAAGCGTGGGGTAGCGAGGGGTACGTACATCCATTACCGATTACCATACCGCTCCAGCTCTCTGGAGACCTACCGGCCGAGGCGGTACCTCACAAGCAAGCCGGCCCACCAACGCGTGACAAGGACAGACGGACAAGGCCAACCTGTGAGCCGAGTCTTGCGCTTCTTCTTCCGTATCAAGGCAGGCGGACACAGGACAGCGTTGATGCGCTGTTCTGTCCTGTCGGCTCGTCTTCCACCGAAGAACACCCCCCGGCGCAATCATTGATTCTCGTTTACCAGTATTTGGCTTTCGACCTTCCCCCTCCTACTCCTCTATTTTCCCCCTTTTTCCCCTTCTCCCCCACTCTCGACGGGGACGCGAGGCGGCTGCTTCCTCCGCGACACTGGAGACCCTCCGTTCCGAAACCCCAACCGGCTCCAACACGCCGTTATTTCTTGCGCAATGTTGCCGCTCCAGTCGATCGAGGCGTCCCCCCCGTCTAACCATGCCGACGAGAATGGCGAGACCCGGCAGCAGAAGCCCAAGGCGTTGCCATGCAAGTATTGTAGCAAGCGCTTTAGGTCAGTCGCCCTCTATTCAGATCACCTCTTCCGGCTCGCCTCTCTCCCGTATATTGGCTTACATTGCCCTCTGATATTAGACGTGTGGAGCATGTCCAACGACATGAAAGAACCCACACCAAGGAAAAGCCCTTTGCTTGCGCCTGGCCTCGTTGCGGCAAGACGTTTGGGCGACGGTGAGTGACTCTTTTTACCTCTCTTCCTGTTTGTCCTGCTTTGCTGCACATTGTGTGCTTTTTGTACTGCCTCCGCATGGGATTTGGGCCCTGGCCCGGCCTCGCACAGGCGGTCCCCCAACTTGTCCATTTTTTCTTGTTTTTACTACCTTAAACCCTCGCTGTACCCCCAACGACCCCCGTCCCGATCTTCCCCCGTCCCTTCGGGCTCCCGTAATCTTCTCCACGCACCCATCATACCCTAAGGCTAGGACCCCGTCGTCACTCGTCCCTCTCTTTCAACCCCTCTTTTCGTTTCGTTTGAGGAAGACTGAGCCCCCTCGGAAGTGGTTCCTGTCCTCCACATCGCCTACCCACACACCCGCTGTTGTCGTGATGAACAAAAGCTTATATGGACATCAGGGACCTACTAGTCCGCCACGAGAAGCTCGTCCATCTGAACGAAGGCAGCAGCAACAAGGATGGCGGCCGGCCAAGGAAACCATCCTCGGCCAGCCTCGCTGCTGGCCATGCAGAAGGGCCTGTCGACACCGAGATGCTTGGAATGCAGCCGCAGCATCATCAGCAACAGCAGCAGCAACAGCAGCAGCAGCAGCAGTCCCACCAACAACCACCACCGCAGCCGAAACCGCCCACGATCCATGCCCACTTCCAGGCCGATCCTGTGGCACCACCTCCAGTGCCGTCCCTTGCATCGGACTCGCGACTTGCCGCGCGACAGCCTGCATGCAACCTTGACCTCCTTTCTGATGCAGCCACACACCTCGCATCAGCGGGAGAGGTCAACAACCTGCAGCCGACTATGATGCCAGGGCTTGCTCCGCCGCCCGCAGAGATGGCTGCCGGGAAGGCATACCACGATACAATGCCCTACCCAGATCGGCCACGGGATCAAGATCCGGCCGTCCTAGCTCCAGGCTATCCACCACAACCCCCGCCCCCTGCGTTTGATGACTACAATCTATTCCTTGACGATTACGCCACGTCCTCGCACTTTCTCCCATCGCTGGAAGTTGACCAAGGCTTCGGGATGTGGTCGCGGCCTCCTGGCACAGATATGGGACGGGGCTTGTCCAAACCTCCTTCGGCGTTTCCGTCTCGTTTTCCCTCACTTGCCCCAGATCTGCGGGATCCTTCTGGGGAGAATCCGAGGATGCATGAAGACGGCGGCGCCCGGGGACCCATCTGGAGGATATCAGCTCTCGACCACACGGTGATTCGGAACCGACTGGATGAATACTCCTCGACCCTACCCAACGATTTCGTGTTTCCCTCACGCCACACACTGAATAGGTTCCTGGATGGCTACATCAGTGGCTTTCACGAGAACCTCCCGTTCCTTCACCTACCCACGTTGTCTCCAACCGACTTGTCGCCCGAACTACTGCTGGCCATCTTGGCCGTTGGGGCCCAGTATCGCTTCGAAACAAACCGCGGCCATGCGTTGTGGTATGCCGCTAAGGCGGTGGCCGTTGAGCAGATCCGTCGGAGGCATAGCCATGAGGTCCATGGGTTGTTGCCGACGGCTGCTGCTTACAGTCCGCACTCCACTCGACCGTCGCCAAGTTCGGGATTCCGGCATTCGTTCCCTTCTGTTCATCAGGACCGGCCCATGACGCAAGATACTCATCGCGAGCCATAGTGAGTTTCTTTTTCTTTTCGCTCCGTCTTGACTGTCCACAACCCGTTGCAGGCGCTGACTATTGTAGTTCCCCCAATACGCCCCAGTCCCGGCTTGAGACCATCCAGGCGCTCCTCCTCCTGTTTGCTGTTGGCTTATGGGGCGCAAAGGCAATCCTCCATGAAGCCCTGTCTCTTCAAAGCCTACTCGCCCTCTTACTCCGTGAAGAAGGATTGGCCGCCGACTCTCATCAACAGACGTCAGATTGGGAGACTTGGGTGCGACTCGAGGCCAGCACCCGCACCAAGCTGGTCGCCTACTGCTTCTTTAACTTGTGCAGTATCGCGTACAACACCCCACCGTTGCTCTTGACGTCAGAAGTACACTTGTACTTGCCCAGCCCCTCACGTCTCTGGAAAGCCGAGAGCGCCTGGCACTGGCAGGAAGCCAGACAGACGTACCCAACCATCGAAATTTCCTTCCAAGAAGCCTTTGCGAGGATCCTGCATCGCCAGTCTCAATCGCAAGTGGCGCCCCTTACATCCCTGGGCAACTACATTCTCATCCACGCCTTGATCCAACACATCTTTCTGCTGAAGCAAACGTCCTACTCGAGCTTGACACCATACGGCTTGCAAAGAGGCTTGAAGGTGGACGATGTGGAAGACATCAACCTCGCGATTCGCGCGTGGAGTCACAGTTTCGAGCAGCACCGGCAGCTCCGCGCGAACGAAATCGCCACACAAGGGTCTGGAGAAGGGTATTCCGAGGGTGCGGTCGCCTTCAACTCCACGGCGTTGATGAGGTTGGCGTACATCAGGTTGCATGCCGATTTAAGCTCGAGTCGCAGCCTCGAAACTCGCGATCATGTCACCATCGCGCAGGCATTTAACGATGCGCCTCTCCTAGTGCGGAGCACACGCCTCTGTCGTGCGGTGGTCCAGGCCATCCACGCACTGTCGATGCTTGTCAAGATGGGAGTGAATTACGTGGCGAAGACGAAGTCGCTGGAGTGGAGCATGCAGCATTCTTGTAAGTCCAAATTTCCTCTGAGATGGTTGGTGAAGGGCCAGACTAACCAACGCAGTGTGCAACCTCGAATGTGCCGTCCTCCTCTCCAAGTGGCTCCTCACCTTAGCATCTATCGGCCCAGCCGACCCGCCCGTCTCTGCCGAAGAAAGGAACCTCCTCGAAATGGTCCGCCGCATGCTCGACGAAACCGAATTCGCCGTCCCCATCGACCCGTCCCTCGCCGGATCGTCCAATCACAACAACAACCATGGCCATCCCGGTGCTGCCCACAACAACCACCCCCACAACAACCACGGGCATAACCCGTCCTCCCGCTCTGTTGATCTGTCGGCTACCGATAGTACTAAGTTGCGGCAGCTGGCGTGTGCCGTGACCCGGCTGTGGGCGGAGACATTTAAGGGCGCGCATATCTTTGAGATTGTGAGGCTTATTGCCGCAGGACTGGAGGGGTATGCGGATATGATGGAGAAGCCGAGGGATCGCACGCCGCTGGGGCGATTGGTGCCTAATCAGGGGCTTGGTTAAGGTGATCTAATCAGTGGGTGTAACTAGGGGGTGAATGGTGTATTATGGCTGGGTCGGGTGTTACTGGTGGGAAGGGTAGGAATGGTGGGAATGGCATAGGAGGTGGGATATGCATCACGGCGTCTGGGTTGGTCTGGGAGGCTAGTCTGAACGCTGACTTGGGACGCTTGACTTGCGGGATACTTGGCTTGACATGTGGGATACTGGATTCGATTACATACAGTACAATGAAATTTCACGTAATTGGTAATTTTGGTGTTTCGACACGAACTATGTGCAAGTCTAATTGCTTTCTCGAGAAGCGCGAGACATATCAATTGAGCCCGCAAGATTGGCAACATAATCGCAGCTTCCGGCAAAACAGCACTGTTCATCCCGTATTATCCTTCTTGAGCTATGCCGTTGTTAGTTCCTAGTTTGATGGGTCGGGTAGTGCTATTGGTACAAATCCCTCGAGATAATATGTGTGGATTGGCTTGTCTCTATTTAATTGAAATTGATGCCCAAGTGGTGTTTAGCTGTGGTCCGAAGCCACCATCAACCAAGGAATGATAAATAAAACCATAAAAGTAACTGGCCAATATTGCACCCACAGAACCAAGCTTCTTTCTTCCCGAGATACGAGATGTACATAAAGCCCCATCATTGAGCCGACCGACGATACTCAACTTCGTATCCTTAAAGGACGAAGGGTCAGAATGACCCAAACTCTCACAAGTCCGGCTTGTCTCGTCCCCCCCTTTCCCTTGTCGTCCACAAGGCTACTTCGGTTTACTTCGCAGCACCCGGCTCATTTTCAATAACTATGCCCACTCACGTTCCCCTTAACACTTCAATTTAATGTCACAGTATCACAACAGATTCACCCAGCAACAGCAGCAAACGAGAAGTGAGAGGTGAGAGTTTTTAAATAACACCGCAGGCAGCACACCGAACCCCAGCGAGTGCACATACCTATGCTATAATACCATGCTATACGACTAAGTATACGAAAAAGGGGGCTGCCGAGTCACCACAGCCGTGGATTATGGGCGGCTGGTTTGTCCACTAACTCAGGCACGCAAAAACCATCGCCAACCATCGTCAACCCTAGCAACCTGACCAGCCAACCTGGCCTCTTTACCCTCCCATTCCCAGTTAGCCAGCCCCCTGAACTAAGTCATCGCCGTGAGTCCGGCCTTGTCCTCCCCCACCCTCCATAGGTCAACCCAAGGCGAAGAACTACGCGAAGAAGCATGCGAAGAACTATGCAATCCCCTCCGGACTCAACCCGGCCCCTGAGGCAGAAAAAAAAGCCAAATCATACACCAAGCAAAACCGAAAGCAAAAGCAAAAGCAAACCAACTCAGGCATTTGCAAACCAGACCAGACCAGACCACACCAGACCGGTCCCGACCCAACCCAACCGAAAAGAAACAAACCGAGCGAAACCGAACCGAACCGAACCAAGCCAAACCAGACCAAACTAAGCCCGACCCAACCTATTTAACTAAAAGCCAAGCTGAAAAAGCCAGATCGAGACAAGCCAAACGAACCAGCGGCCGGGGAAACCTGGGTAAAAGCCCAGCAGTGGGGAAGAAAAAGAAGACAAGACGAAGAGAAGAAAAGGGAAAACGGTATACGCCCCTGAAGCTGGCCCTGAAGCTGCATCCTCGGCGCGGCCTATATCAGCGACCAGCGACCCTCAGGCAAATGCAGCTATGATTTCCCTTTTTTACCACCCCTTCCTCAACACCCCCCTAGGCGTATCATACGGCCCATCACCACCACTAGCATCCTCTCCACGTCTACCATGTTCCTCCTCTTCACTCCCATGATCTCCGCCGCCAAAACCACCACCCCTCACCCTACCCTGGCCCTGGCTTAAAGCACTCCCCCTCCCTTGACCTAGACCCGCCCCCCTCTCCAGCCCACGCCCATGTCCAGAACCATTACCAGACCCATGCCCCAACAACCGGCCCTGCAACGACATCCCCCCAGCCCCCTCATCCGACCCGCGCCTGGTAGACTCCCTCTCCAACTCACTCATAGCAAAAAGCAACGGTTCCTCATCCGCCGCTCCATCCACACTCCCCGCGTAATGCCTACCACCGCTTCCACTGCCCCTACCCCTGCCTCCACCTCCTCCTCCAGACAACGTAGCCCCGCTGAGATTCGCACCACCACCACCGCTGGAAGCGATACCCGATGCGGAAGCCGGTCGGTAGATACCACCTCCCGCTCGGAGAGCCGCGCCACCGATACTCCCGCTTCCGCTGCCGCCGCTGCTGCCGAGGCTGGGCCGTCTCAAGCCTACGGAGGTACTCCCCATGCCAAGGCCCATGCCCAAACCCAGACCGGGACCGGCACTAGCGGGACCTCGGCGTTCGACAGACACGCGGGCGCCGCTGTCGGTATCGGAATCGATTCCCCCTGCGATGACGGGGATACCACCGCCGCCGCTGGCGTTGCTGCTTCCGTTGTTGTTGTTGGCGTTGCCTACATCGCGACGGGAGCCGTCCTCACGCTGATAGCCGAGGAGGGTGCTGAGGGTCGGGAGGTCGGCGGTGTCGTCGGCTGCGGCGCTCGGTTCGACGCTGGCGCTACGTTGGTGGTGGCGTTGGAGATAGGGGACTCGCTCGACTTCGCTGGCTAGGGAGCGGTGGGGTTGCTGTTGTTGTTGCTGAGGCTGTTGCTGGGACTGGGACTGTTGCTGCTGCTGGGTTTGGGCAACAGAGTTGGGACGGCGGATGGCGGCCGCGCTGTGTGGGTGACCGTGATGGAGAAGGCGGGGGGAAAGCGGGATGTCAATGGCTGTGGTACCTGTGGTACCTGTGTCTTGTTGGGTCACAACGGGCGTGTTATCGTCGTCGTCTTCGGCGTGCTCGTCGTGCTCGGCTTGCTCGCCCGGACTGGGCTCGAGGTTCGGCCGTCCTTGCCGTGGCTGGGGAGGCTGGTAGTCGATGATTGAGTTCTCGCTGAGCCGTGAGGGAATGGCCGGTGTGTGTGGTGTATGTGGGGACAAGGGCTTGCCCGGGGAAGACGAGATGGACATGGAAGCCGGGTTTACCATGCTCGGGACGTTGGCAAGTTGCCGGCTCGAGGAGCTGGATGACCGGTGTAGGTGTATCGACGAGGTCATAGACTCTGTGAGAAGCGTATTGGCTTCCCGCATCTGCTGGAACTTGGAGAGCTGCGCGGCCGTGCGCTTGGAGGCCAGCGACTCTCCCTTTTTATTGACCTCAAAACTCTTGAGCGTCTTCCGGTTGTCGAGGGCCTTCAGGAAGTCCGAGATGTTGTCATCGTCGGCCGCAAATGACCCCGAGCTTGTCGCGGCCGCTTCGGTGAGCAGCCCAGACCCGGGCTGGGCGGACGAAGAAAGGCTCTGTTTCCCGCTGCTAGCCTGGTCGTCGTCGGGCTTACTTTGTCCGCTCTGCCCGCTCTGTCCGCCAAAAGATGGCCGGTTCCGCCGATGCGTAAAGCTGCTGCTGTACCGGCTGCCCGGCCGTGGCGATCCCGAGAGCGACGGTGCGTCTTGGGGTACCGGGGCCAAGGGCGGTGCCCCACGCAACGAAGCGGCCGACCCCATGGTAAGCGACGAGCGGTTGCCGGCACGTGTCGGGCCCGTCGTGCTGGGACGAGTAAGTGATTTGGGTGATGATGGAGGCTCCAGGTCAGGAATCCTCGGCGACCCGGAGAGCGAGCCGGCCTTGAAGGGTTGGAAAGAGACCGATGGCCTCCTGTTAGACCCATCATATGCCCTCGATGCGGGACGGCCCGCGGCGCCGCGTATTGGTAGCGAATGGGGAGGTTCGGTTGGTTCGACGCTCTCCGACATGGACTCGGGCGGCGAGCTGGTGTCGGAGCCGATAGGCCGCACCGACCTAAGGGCGGTAATCGGGCTCGTCCCGAGGGCTCCCGCGCCGTGGAATGTCGATAAACTCCCGTATGTTTGCTGTGGGCCTTGGCGCCCTCGATCCTGCCGGTGTGATGGTAAAGAGCCCGGTTCTACATAGGGCTCATACCGGTCGTGGTCTCGTCGTTGCGAGATGGACGGTTTGAAATAGTTCTCGTCTAACCCCAGCAGCCGGGAGCTGAGCAGCGACTCGGCATCCTCGACTCGGAAGTTGCAGTCGTTGCGGTATGTAACCGAGGCGTAGAAGCGCCCAACCGGCACTTCGAGGTCCGCGAAGACATACTCGGTGACGGCGTCCTGCCCGTCGTGCAGGGGTTGCCGGAGAGGGTCGTAGGTTGCGTACTCGGGATCGGCGCTCCGGACTCGGCACCGGACCTCGAGGGCCGGATGGATTCCCTTGGCCAGCGCCTGCTGCGAGTACTTGAAGCAAGGCATCATGCGCGCCGCAAGGAACAGCGAGCGGAAGAAGACAATGCTCCGCTTGTACACGGTCGGTAGGGTAGGGCCAAACTCATCGCGCACCGGGCCCGGCAGGCACTTGAGCTCCAACCTCCATCGCTCCAGGATCACCTCGGCATTGCGCTTCTGGGCATGGCGTCGTTGGGGGCTGTCGTCAGATGTGTCGGACGAGTTCAGAGCCTCCAGGACATCCCATCGCTTGCCGTTGTCGTCGACAATCACCAAGCTCTGGCTGCTATTAAGCCGGGAGGCGTCGATGTATGTCTCGATAATCAAAGGCGGCGGTCGGTTCTCGAAGCTGCCTGATTGTTTGAATACCCCGAGTTCGGCCGCGAAGTCTTCGATATCGTCCGTATCGATTGAAAACTATCATTCCGTCAGCACTTCAATCAATTCATCCCACAACCATGCTAAATCGCCCCCCAAAACTCCTGTCTAGCCGATTCGCACTTACCCAGCGGTTCTTTTTCCCATTCCCGACCGGCGTCGTATTGAGCCGCGACTGGAGAATCACCACGGCCACCTTGTAGTAGAAGTTCTGCACAATTTGGTCCAGCTTCTTTATCGAGTCTCTGCTGGGGCCGGACCCGAAGCTCTCGGCGCTGTCGGATCGGCCGCCATCATGACTCGCAGCGTCGGACCCGGAACGAATTCGATCCCTCGGGTTGTTGGTTCGCGCGGGGTTTGTCTGGGGGGAGGAAGCCGGAGATGATATCCTCGGCGGATGGCGAGATTGCTGATGCATTTCTGCGGCTAGGGATGAAAAGGAGGGGGGAGAGGGGGGCGACTCGGCTCGGCTTCACATCGATATCGGGATATGTTGACTTTCGAGGTTTTGATGCCGAGGGAGGGTAGAGAGGAATCGGGATTCTTTGCCGGCTCGGGTGGCTGCCGGGAGTTCGCAACAAAGGATGTCGGGAACAATCGTCACTGATGCTAGGCGGGAGGGTGCGGGCGAGGCAAGCGGACCTTCGCATCCATCGTTCAAGGCGGCAGAATTATCGACAAAGCAGCGGGCCTAGAAAAGAGGGGAAGAGGTAGGAGGCCAAATTCTAAGTCACAGCACTGTCTCCTCTCCAAGGCAGACAAGTTCTATGCGGGGGGCGAACTCGGCAAGAGTATGTACGATACTTGGTACGGCCCGTAAGAGGGGTAAAGGGGGTAAGGGGGAAAAAAGAGAACGGGATTATGCGAAGAGAGGATGAAGCCCTGAGGTTTCCAGCATCTGGTTGGCGGTGACGCTCGACGGGAAGGCAGACAGACTCACACAGCCGAGTGACGAGCGGCCAGCAACCAGCGGCAAGCGACCCAAGCGGAATGCGGATCAGTGTTAAGCACACAGTGGTGCCGTGCCCGGGGTTCCCAGTCTGAGGAAGGCCGAGTGCCGGGGTGGTTGCGGCGGCTCAAGGGGCTCCGATAGGTGCAGGGGCCCGTGGCTCGGCAGGTGCCCAGGCGAGCCAGGCGTCCAGTGAGGGGCGACGGGGGTTGAAGAAGGGTTATTGTGGAGGCTGCTGCACCACAGCACCGCAGCTGCAGGCACTGAGCGGCCCGTTGATGGCTTTGAAGTGTGTTGCCGGAAAAAAGCTCCCTTGTGGTTACATGGACGAACGTGGACAGAGAATGGGTCCCTGTCTCTTAAATGGGTGTGCTACGACAGCCTCGTGGCACGCACTGTGAGGTCTTGACCGGAAACGACACAGCGCTCGGCCAGTAACTAACTAATGCCAGACACTTGCGATGTCGGGATGGGGGTCCTCCTGCTCCTGTGATGACACGATGGGAAGATGGGGAAGATGATAGATGGGAGATGGGAGATAAGAAGGCCACGCCGAAAGCCGGATCCCCAGTGCGGGTTGTCAAAAGTCACTTGGTGTGCTTCGTTGTCCAGCGTGATCCAAATGTCTACTAGGCTTGTCAGCAGCAGTGTCGCATGGATAAGGAGCTCCGCTCCCCTTTCTGATACAGCCAGCTGTCAGCAGCTGGGACAAATGGGACTCCACTGCTCGTACCTGTGCACGCCAACTTGGTGAGACACGCCTCGTGATCTTTCGTCCGTCTTCCGTCATCACGCGGCGGAATCAGCAACCAAGCCAGGAACTTGAAACCCCTAAATCCCAGGGCGGCCGAGCAGAGCTCAAAATGATGCAATGCTTTCACCATAGAAATAGGAGCTGAACTGGGACTGTTTCGATTCACCTACAAAACATACCAGAATAGAGCGCACAAAAGCTTGGAATCTCAGAATGGGGGCCTGGGATGGTTGGTGGTTTGTCGAATCTGTCGTCACAGTTACTCGCATCCAGGTTATGGTGCAAGCCGACAGGTGATGGACAGTCGATCATCAGCCCACCCTCGAAGAGCGAGCTCGGCCGGCTTGGGTTGCAGATTTGCAAAGCTAGCAAGCAGAGAACATTCCGAGAAGGCTCGACCCGATCTCCCTCACCCCACCTTCCTCGTCGGACAAAACTGGCACATCTCGGTTCCATCTCTTTGACTATGTTTTTTCTTGCAAATCGCACATTTTGTCAATGCAAACATAATCCGAGAGCCAAACTAAGAGACGCACATCAGCAACACCAGCCAATACTGTCACACAACAGGCCGCTGATATGCGCAGGGCCGGCATACTCTAAGTTAAGGCGACCACCTGGCGGCTCACACTCGCTACCGTGTCGTATCGGATCGATCACGGGCAGCGGCCGATATCGAGGCGCTTGAATGTTGCCTGCTAGCCTGCGTCCGGAAATGTGGCCGGCGTCGAACCTGCAGCCTCCAACTGGCGGGCTGCCAGCTCGACGAATAAGTGGTTGCGTGTGAAAAGGGGTCAGTCATGTGAACGAGTTCGATTAACTAGTCATCGTGGAAACTGGTGGCTTCAAGTCAAGGCGGTGTTGCCACACATAGACCAACAAGGCGATTTGTAGAACTTGTCCTCAATTTGCCAATTCACATCAATTTTCATCCACCGCCATTATCTTCAACAAGATATCTCCCACAACCCCTCAATTGACAACTCTAAGCTGGGTTGCTGCCTCAATAACCCCCCCATTGTCTGTGGCGGGGTCCAGGCCTCTGGTTGGCCAAAGCGACTCATGCATGGACAAACAAGGCAACCCGCTGCGTCTGCCGCGGCCGCCGATGCGTGGTGTGCCTGTGTCCGCGCAATCAAGTTTAATGTCTGGAATTGGGTGACGAAGAAAATTGAATGGCTAAGGACAGCTCACACAGGCTTCGGGGGCTTGGGAGAGATCAACCATGGCGATGAAGCTACTTTGATATTCCCGCTATGATACTAATACCTCTTGACAACCAGCATTTGCTTTCACTGTTTCTCTCTATGGGATAAACAACGTCACAAAGAAACCCAACTAACAACCCAACAAAAGACCAAAATGGCACAACATAATCACAAAACGGCAAGAGTTACAGGTGGCAGTCTAATTCCATCTAGATAACAACCTTCCCCTCTCCGTTTTCCATCTTCTTAGTGGGCCGACGGCCGTGCATCAAAATTCCACGGCGGCTTCAACTCACAGACAGCCATACAAAGCAAAAACAATCATTGTGGCCGTCCCTCGGCTTGCCACATCACCATCCATGTTCCCCTTTTTCATTGGCTTTGGGGTACATACATACACTTATACTCTAGCTACTCATCGTTCCCAAAGTTCATACAATCAAGGCAGCCAAAACAAACACTTTTGCAAGTGTTAAAAGGACTACCACCCTAACCCTGAAAATGCACCCACCCTCAAAAAAACCAGAACAGATGGCCTAAGTCTAACCCATTAACATTCAATTAAATCTTGACAGATTGTTATTGATTAACTCTTTTTTTGTCTTTTTTCACTTTTGTAGAAAAGTAAGTTATCCAGGGACTTGGTCTGCCGAGCCACCCTAAGTCCAAGTCTCGACCGTCAAAGCCACCAGACCAAACTTATCTTTACATACATACACACGTAGTACGCTTTGCTTTATCTGGGGTAACACATGTCGATTTCCAACGCCTCACTTACCTTGTCACTACAGTCTCTCCTCCCATTGGTCCCACAGACAGGGCGGAGAAGAAGAGCACGGTTGATGCGGTGTAATACATATGCGGGTACACAGACAAACGTTAGAAAGGAGATGTATGGTGATACATAGATGCAGGTATATACAATGAACATGATGGACGATATACACAGACATGCTCTCACCGTCCGTGCCCCCGATGTCGGCGTTCTGTATTGTATGTGTGTACATTAGATGCACATTGACTTCTTTGATTACATTCCTCTCGCAGTAGCAGCAGCAGCATTAGCACCAGGCCGTCCGTCTCTTTCTCTTTCTCTTTCTCTTCCGCCCCCACCAGCCCCACCTCGGCCTCTATTCCCCCCTTTCGCTTTGTTCCCTCCTCTTGCACCATTCTGTTGTTGCACTTTCTTACCATCGTCATCACCTCCTCCACCACCTCCTCCACCTCTCATCAGACCCCCTCTTCTCGTCCCCCCTCCTCTCCCTTCTCGTCTCCCTCTCTTCTCTCCTCCATTCCCATTCCCACTGTTCCCAACACCAACACTATCCGCAGCACCAGTGCCAGTACCACCACCATTCCGCCTCCTCCCCCTCCCCTTCTCCCCCCTTTCTCCTTTCTCACCATTCCCAGAAGTACTCCCGGTACCACCCCCCCTCCTCCGTTCCTCCTCCTCCATCATCCTCCGACTCTCCGCATCCCACCACTCCTGAAACGCCTGCTCCTGCTGAATCTCCTGCAACGAGCGCTTCGACGCAGCCGCCGCAGCCTCCTTCACCTGTTCCTTATCACGTGTCTGTTGCACAATGATATCCTGCATGCTGAGGCCTATGGTGGAGGAGAGGGTTGGGGTGTGCCGGGGGATGTAGACTTTGGAGTGGGGGGTTAGCTGGGAGGTGGGGTCTGTGGAGGGGGTTGTTATCGTTGTTATTGTCGATGTTGTTGTGGGAGGAGGGGCTGGGGTTGAGGGCGTTGGGGGTGGACGGGTTGACGTGGATGATAGAAGGGGGGGAGGAGTTGGGCGCTGGGATTTGGATAGAGGCGTGGAGGGTATGCTGGATGATGTGCGCTGGCCGGAGAAACGCGTATCAGGTGAAGCGGTGCGTCTGTGAATTGGCACCGAGGTTGTCACCTCTTGAGAGAGAAGACCTTTTCCCTTGAGCGGCAGGGCCCGAGTCTTGTCTTTGACCCCGACCGTCTTCCACGGGGACGTGGTGGGTTCATCAGCCGAGCGCTCCCACGCGTTTTTGGGACCTGTCGCCTTGGCTGCGAGTAGAGAAGCTTGCGCGGCCTGTGCTGCTTGTTGCTGTCGTTTCTTCTCCTTCTGCGAGACCTTTTGCTGCGCTGGTTTTGGCGTAACCTCCTTTGCTTTCTGCGCCGCGGCAAGACCCTCAGTCAGAGCGGATTGTGTGGCCGTTTCGGACTGAATGATGTCGCGGAGGTCGAGCTTAGAGATCGGCGTAGTCGCAGCGCCCCAGGGCTGCCCGGCCTGCACAGGCGTTGGGTTAGGGCTGCCCACCTGTGCTGATTTGGAAGGGGCCAGAGATGGAGAAGACGGGCTGCGAGGCGATGACGCTCCGAGATCGAGACGGATCTTCTTGCCCACGCCTTTCCAGGAACCGCCCAGGGGAGGTATCTGGTCCACATCCGGCATTCCTCCCACGGCCCTCCGGGGCCGCGCCAAAGGACTAGTGACAGGCGAGGACTCATCGTCCATGTCAAATATCATCTCCCCATGGGACGCCTTAGGCCGAAGACTGGGACTGAACGGCTCATTCTGAACAGGCATCGATGACTTCCTGATCTTTTCAGGGGTCGGCGTGACGGGGGTAGTGTCATCCAAGCTGCCATATTTGGTCTTCCCAGCAGCTAGCAACCGCTTCTCTTCGTCCTTCAGGACCCGGAATGCAAGTTCCTTGACCCGGACCTGCCGTTCTTCAAAGACCTCATCCGCTAACCAAGGGTAGGTCTCGTAGAGCAGAATCTCAGCCCGGCCACTTCTGACAACCGGTGATTGGGCAGTCTGATTGTCTCGCACCACCTCATCAAGCTCCCGTAGCAAATCCTCGTCTAGCTCATCTAGTAGATGGTTCTCTAGCATTGTCTCCAGTTGCAGGCAAATGTACTCCAGCCCGACATCCTTGAACTCCGTAACCGAGCACGGACTGATGGCATTCAGCAAGTGTGCCATGTTGCGGATGTTGGCAAACCGGCCCATCACCTGCTGGCAGATCTGCGACAGCCGGTCGAGCATCAGGTAATTCGCAATCGACATGACCTCCATGACCAGGTCCAAAAAGTCGTCAAAGCTGTCACAAACCGCAGGATCAAACAACTCGACGCCGCAATCTCCATACAGAAACTGCAGGACATACTTAAACGCCTTGGGGTCCGCATGATCGAGATCAATCTTGATCCGTTCCGCAGGCGCTGCCTCAGCACGACGGCTCTCCAACCACATGCCCCGGGAGCGACCAAAGAACAGCCCCTGGAACCACGGGCACCGCTGGCACACAAACGCGCTGTGGACGGGGACCTCGGCGCCTTCCAGCTCCAGCACCGCGTCACCATCTGCGAAGAACCGCGAATCCTTGATAGCGAGCTGGAAGTCGGCGTCCATGCACCGCTGAGGTTCCACTTGCAGCCTCGCGGCCGCTTCTAGATTGTTCATTTCAAGCCGCAGTGCAAGTTTCATGACATCCAGGCGGATCTGCCGGTACCGGTATGCCAGCGGCCGTACGTGGCCCGTGAAATTCCACACCGGGATCACTTGATCCTCGTACGCAAACAGGATCAGGTTCAGGAGGGCGACGAGGTCTAGGCCCTGAAAACAGACCACCGCAGTTCCATCCTCGTCACGGATGGTGAACAACTCGTGGGTGTAGGGTTCCGAGCGCCCCGCCTTGCGAAAGTGCGAAAGTGCATTTCGCAGAACGGGGCTGCGAGCAGCAAGCAGCCATCCGTGGATGGGGATTCGGACGTCGGGCGACGCTGACGTGCAGATGGCAGCATCTAGAAGGTCGTTCTGGTACGACCATGACACAAGATGTTGTGACAAGTCATCGTCGATATCGGAGGATTTGAGCACTTCGTAGGCTACAGAACCGAGACGTTCTTCGAGCTCGCCCTGCTTCCAAAATTTCCACACTTCGTCTTTCTCGTTGTCGGGTTCCGAAGCGCGGAAGCCGTCCAGACAGTTGAGTGGTGCCACATCGTCCCAGATGGATTGCCCGTCGATGGCGAGCTGCTCTTTCATGATGTCGGAGTCCTTCCGGATGGCGGCAAAGGCGCCATGTGCCGATGCACGAACAGCGGCTACCTTGGTGATGCACGGCACACGCTGGAACTTGTAGTCTTTGCGCTTGGAGGATTCAGACATCCACGGCGAGGCGTCCTTGGCCTTGGTACGTTTCACCCTCCGCCATACCGCGCCAGACTGCGTGCTGATGATGACGGAACCGTGCTCGCCAACGCCGACAGAGCGGACACCGTCTCGTCGGGCGGACCAAATGCACTGCGCCTGGGTGACTGCACCCTTGATCTTGGACGGGTTGGAGGTGGACGTGGTCGAAGGGTTGGTTTCGATCTTGTGGTCGAGACTCATAGTAAACAAATCGCCGCGTCTCGTCACAGCGGCAATGGTCTCGCCGCCGGACGTGATGCTGCTGATCTGGTTCCAAGCGGGGTCTTGGCGCGTCGACAGTTTGATATTGCCGACCAAGTCGAGGGTTGCGAAAGGGAATTTCACGATGTGATAACCGTACGCCGTAAACGCGCAGACTGTGTGGTTTTGCAGCAGAATGGTGGTAGCCTTGTCGATAGCTGTCACCATCACGATAGGCGATGAGAACAATGACGCCGCAACCTTTCTCGGTGTCTGCTGAAACTCCAGCGACCGCGAGTCGGCATCCATCAACGCCAACTGCCCAACATTCTTGCCCCAGCAATACAACGAGGTCCCCGTATGCGCAACAGAGTGGATCGAGGAGGCGGCAATACCAATGACCACTTCTTTCTTGAGTGGTCCAAAGACCTGCCGCGGGACGGTACTGATGGGGTCCTCGTCTTGCTTGGAAGGCTCCGGTAGAGTGTATCCCAACTGGCACTGGGCGTTATTACCCCACGTCCAGAGAGCACCAGTTTCGTCCACGGCCATGGAGTGGTTTTGGCCGAGTGCGACTTGAGTGACTTTCCTCTCTGCCAAGGGCCCGAGAACGGGCGCGTACGTGAACCGCGTATTCTCGTCCCCGAGGCCCAGTCTCCCTCCACGGCCAACGCCGCAGATGTAGAGGTTCGACACAGGATCTGCGGTGAGCACGGCACTGTGCAACTTGGAAAGCACCACGTCTTGTATCATCAAGGGCCGGCTCAACACCAAGGTAGGAATCTTGCTGAGATCCTGAGATGCAGGCCGGTCATCGCCGGTGGCCTGTAGGTACTCACGGTGAAATCTGCGCAGCAAGTCATCGGGGCGCTTGAGGCTCACTCGCTCTGGAAACTGGCGGTCATCCTCATCTCCGAACCCCAGCGAAAGGTTCCTGTTGCTACCAAAAGCATACAGATCTTCGCCGGCCGGGCTCGCGCTCTCGGTGATTCTGCTCCATGTGTCAGACTGTAGACGGCAGCCGAAGCGGTGGTAACGGATCAAACACAAAATCCCGCGTCACGGCGCCACTCACAAGGCTGGGTCCAAAACGGCCTCGCCCCCATCACTATCCGACTCGTCGTCCCCACCCGACTGTTGAACAAGCTCTTTCAGACTGCGCTCGCCAATGGTCGAGTGGTACAAATCAAACGGGCTGTAGCCCTCGTGGTCCTTGGTCTTGATGAGCTGACCAACCCGATTCAACGATGCGGTGTGACCCGTCAAGTCCTTGCGCTCCTTCTCCAACAAGAGCCGCGCGATGGATATGTTTCCCGCATACAGGGCCCGATGAAGCGCATTCCAGCCGCTCTCGGGGTCTTGCGCATAGATATCAATGGCCGCATGGTCGAGAAGCGCCTCAACGAACGCGATGGAATTTTCGCCAGTCGAGGATGCTGCGCGCAGCAGGATGGTAAGACCGGCGTGGTCGCGACCGTTGATCTCGCTTCGTCCGATTCCGCCGCTGTGGCCGTGACGCCCGCCCCCCGAGCCTGTTCCAAAGCCGGGGGCCTTGCGCGACTTGGTCGCGGGGCGTGGTGATGTGCCGTAGCCCGGGCTACCCGCGCCAGCGAGGCTCAGGTTCGAGGTTCGGGGCCCGCCTTGCGCGCCGTGGCTGGCGGGGGCGAGAAGGCGTCGAAATCGGTCGACATCATCTTCCCAGTAGTGTTTCCACAGCTGATGCGTCATGTGCTGGATGCGTTGCGATCGCGGGTCGTTTTTTGTCGAGCGGGTCCCTTTGGAATTGCACCTCGCTGTGGTCTCGTGGGGATCACGGCTTGTTTAAAGGTGCGATGGGAAGCTCGAAAAAAAAAGACCGTCCCCACGCCGTCGATGGCCGGGCAGAATACTCAGCGATCAATGGGCGGCGTTTTTTGTGCGCGTGGCGATTTGGTACAAGGACACGGGTTCTTCGGAGACAATTCGTACAGAACGGACTCGAGCAACTCGACGATTCAGCGGCGTGTTCGGGCAAGCTTCGTTCGATTCGATTCGGCGTTTTGTTCGATGGAAACGGATGCCAAGTTGGCGACTGCAGCAATGGCGGTGGATGTCAAGGAGATCAAAGATGCGACTAGGGCCGGGGAGGAGAGGAGTGTTGGTCATATCTCTGTTCCACGCGGCGCCTGTCGCGATAACCCGGCCGAGCCCCGCGTTCCCACTCTCGCTGCCGTGACTTCCCTGACCCGAAGATGTCGCTCTAGCCAATCAGATCACACAGCTTTTACTCATGCCCCAAGCACTTGCAGGCGACGGGCCAGCCCTGGGAAGACGGTTGACTTGCATGGCCCGAGCAGTAACTGCATTTTGGGAAAACGTGGGGAGCTCAAGGACGGGCATGTGGGAACATTGCGAGCACATTCGGGATGCCCGAGTGTCTTTGAAGGGGAGACCCGGGACAGACGGACAGCCGCGGTCATCACCTCCTCCTAAGTGTTCTTTCTACGCCAATCGCGCTCCGATCCCGCTAAACCCTGGCGACGGCAACGGTTGTTATTTCGAGTTGGTGGTTTTTTTAGTCATAATCGAAGTGTGGGGTGTGACATCTTTCGACAGACGGTTTGGGATAGTGTTCAAGAAAGGGGGTTAGGGTTAGACGTGAGTTTTGCCTGGCATTTAGCCCCTAGGGTCGATCGGAGCCAGGGGTTTGGGCCCTCCGATGTCGTCTCCCGCATTGGAAATCTGCGTGAGCAATGTGGGGGTGAGCTCACCCATCTTCCGCCAAAACGTTCGCTTCGGCTCGCTAGATCCGGGGACGGGGAGACTTTTCTTTCGCGCAACGTTGTTGTCACCTTTTTCTTCCCGTTCCTCCCTCCCTCCCAGTCTTTTTTTATTCTTTTCTTTCATCGTATACCGCCCCAACGCAGCTCGAAATGGCGTCCCAAAAGGAACAGGCTCCTTTGCCTTTCCGCTATACTTTTGCGGCCGGTGAGCGCTTTGCGAATCCCGACACCAGCCGCGGAGGGCTTTAGTAACTAACTAAACATGACAAAACAGGCGCCATTGCCGGAGTTTCTGAAGCACGTTGTCCCCTATGGTGAAACGATGGTTAATTGACATGCTAACTCCAAGACGCGCATAGATTCTGGTCATGTAAGTCATCCCTGCTCGTGGTCGCGTGCTACACAGTACACCCCGCTAACGTCGTCGCTCAACACAGGTACCCTCTAGATGTGGTGAAGACAAGAGTGTGAGGAAGAACTCCGAAGTCCGCAACGATTTGATTCCCGACTGATGGCCGATTAGACAACTGCAGACCGGCAAGGGCGCCGGGTCCGATGCGTACACTGGCATGCTTGACTGCTTCCAAAAGATCATCCGCCATGAGGGGTATGTTCCTGAAGGGAGGGTTTGAAGATCCAAGGGCTGTCATTGACTGGGTTTTACGCTAGTTTCTCGAGACTCTACCGCGGTATCACCGCCCCCATTCTCATGGAAGCCCCCAAGCGTGCGACCAAGTTCGCCGCCAACGACAAGTGGGGCAAATTCTACCGCGACCTGTTCGGCCAGCAGACCATGACCCAGTCCCTCTCCGTGCTGACGGGTGCGTCAGCCGGTGCGACCGAGTCCTTCGTCGTGGTACCCTTCGAGCTCGTCAAGATCCGCCTTCAGGACAAGGCCTCGGCCGGCAAATACAACGGCATGATTGACGTGGTGGTCAAGACGGTGCGCAACGAGGGTCTTCTGGCCATGTACAACGGGCTCGAGTCCACACTTTGGCGCCACATCCTCTGGAACGCGGGCTACTTCGGCTGCATCTTCCAGGTCCGCCAACTTCTCCCCAAGGCCGAGACCAAGGGGAAGCAAACCGTCAACGACATCATTGCCGGTACCGTCGGTGGCACTGTCGGTACCATCCTCAACACCCCGATGGACGTTGTGAAGAGTCGCATCCAGAACAGCATCCGGGTTGCCGGTGAGACGCCCAAGTACAACTGGGCATGGCCAGCCGTGGCCACCGTGGCCAGGGAGGAAGGGTTCGCCGCCTTGTACAAGGGCTTCATCCCCAAGGTGCTGCGGTTAGGACCTGGCGGTGGTATTCTGCTTGTTGTTTACACTGGTGTGATGGATTTCTTCCGTAAGATGAGGGATGGCGAGGCGTAGACATGAGATACCCCCCAAAGACGTAGGAGCGACGAGGAATGGCAGGGCCGGTGTGGGTGGATTAAAACTGTACATATGCAAAGAGGAAAATTGCACGGTGGCCATGATGGAGATGGTTATTCTGGCTTGTCTTGCTTAGATTAGATCTTCAAGGAGATTTTGGTTATTCTGATAGAGCTGGCGGGCAAAGTTTGACCTACTTGCGTCCGCACTTGCCTGTCTGTTTAGAAATGCCATCAACTCGCTGCCTCGGCCCTACGTGCAGGTAGGTACCGTAGCTGCTCCTTCCTTTCCGCAGCTTCTGCTCTTTCCGCAATTACAGTCGCAATTGGCTCAATGTTAGGCAGGTCCTAGATAGATTGGCAACTCGATACCTAGATGAAGTCGGGTAATTATTTTGAATACAATCCATCACCGACGTTCCTTTGTGTCTCTCCAATCACCACTCCAGGTCCCCCTCGGTTCACCCCGGCATCTCTCACTTCACCTACCCGAGTGTACCCTAGCTCCAATCAACCAGCTCGCAATCACCATGCCAAAAATCACATTCCCACCGAACTCCAATCCCAACCTCGACCCAATGACCCTCCTGGAAGAAGGGAGAACCGGAAATGAGATGGAAAAGGGAACCAACGAAAAACCCGAAGAGGAAAGGAACACGGCCCGCCTACACTGGTGGAAAGAGCTCGTCCGGATGTCCATCCTCTGCTGTTGGGCCACATTCCTTTTATCATATGTCGAGAAGGACGTTCCAAGACCGATACCCCCGACGCAACAAACACTCAACGCGCTAGGGGAGATGTGGGCAGACGAAACAATAAGTCGGATGACGCTGTTCCGCAAAGTGCTGAAAGCTGCGCTCACTTACCATGCAGGCCTGATACGGAGGTCGGCATTGGAGGTGGCGTGAGGTTTCGCGAGAATCACACTTGTTTTTGGGCAGCTGCTGTCTTGGACGCTAGGCGCGGGTATGGTGTTGTCCTGGGCGAGGGGTGGGTGTTTTATGAACAGGGAGATTACGCCTAACGACATATACTGGTTTATCGGTTTTGTGTGTGGATTGGTGGTTCTCGGTTACCTCCTTTAACTGGGATAGATTGTTTACACTAGAGCGGGTCGATGCCGCTGCGAAGGCTGTGATGCTTGGGGGGCGATGGAGATCCCCCGGCCCGTGGGAATGGTCACGGCTACCATAGTAGTCCGGAACGACGCCACCTTCCCACAGCATATTATGAAGCTAGTACAGGAGCAAGAAGTGATAGCGAAAATAACAAAAATAAGGTGACGTTTTTGCGACGACTCGGAGAGCAATGCGAGATGTAATTATAAGCCGGGGTTCATCTGAACCGCACCCATTTGGGGAGTTTATTTCAGGTCCCACCAATAGTTAGCCAACACCGGGGACATTGTATTCGGGGATATTTGGAATTACGAGCCAATCACACTAAATAAGGGAAAAAAATGAAAAGAAACGGACGCTGTCCGGCGACATTATCGAAAACATGCGTAACTCTGCAGCGAGTGCATTGGGCTCGGGCTGGTTTGCGAGCTTGCGCAAGCTCCCACGCACGCAGTGGCGGGGCGGGGACCGCGCCAAGAAGCAGGTTCTCAGACGGTGGGTGAGGCGCTCGTGGCGCCTGACGAGGATCACTTGCAGGGCAGCTTGCAGGGGGTGGGTGGGGCTGCCCGCCCGCCAGTGCCCGCTCGGCCATGCTAAGAATGGAGGGGCCTGGAAAGATGGAAGAAAGCCACCAACCAACCACGCGGCACTGCCCACCAGCGCTCCACCTACCATTCCGTCTTTCGTTTGTCCATCGTAATCCATCGACGACTGAACTCATCCTTGGTGCGTAATACTCTGGTCTTGACGATTCTTGTGTTCATACAACCTCCTCGACCTGCGATATCGAGAGTCGAAGCAACCGCAACCTCCATTTATCTCTCGAAGTCTGCTCGGCCGATCGCTTCTCGAGCTAACCTCAAGAACCCAACCACCTTTCTGTGCCGCGCGGGGCAAGGCAAGCCCAAAACCCAAGGTTGACGTCAGCGTTGGGACCGTTCTCCAGCATCACCAAGGACGTTCCGCTTGACAAGAGCTCCGCTGGGTCCAAACCTACGGCTACGCTCCCTACAACACACACGAAGACCTCTCAAACGACTAAATTACAAACCGCCGCGATGTTTCGAGCGGCTGCGGCCGGGCCGTACGATGCGGCCATCAGTATGTACCCGACGACTACGACGTCCCACCCGGGTTGTGCGCCCTCCTGATACTGACTTCCCTCGCAGACAAGGCCACGGACGAGAACCAGACGTCGGAGGACTGGGGCGCCATTATGGAGATTTGCGACCGAGTCGCCAGCGATGCGAATGGGCCCAAGGAGTCGGTCGCCAGCCTGATCAAGCGCTTGGCGCATCGCAACGCCAACGTCCAGTTGTACACGCTTGAAGTAAGACGGGTTTATTCTTGACGTCTCCAGATGAGCGCAACATACTGACTAACGCTAGGTGGCCAACGCCCTGTCCCAAAACTGCGGCAAGAACATGCACCGCGAGCTGTCGAGCCGCGCATTCACGGATGCGCTGCTCAAGCTCGCCAACGACCGCAACACGCACACCCAGGTCAAGGCCAAGATCCTCGAGCGCATGAAGGACTGGTCCGACATGTTCAAGTCCGACCCGGACCTCGGCATCATGTACGACGCCTACTTCCGCCTCAAGCAGACCAACCCGACCCTCCAGCCACCGAGCGCACCGCAAAAGAACAGCCTCACCGATGTCGACCGCCAGAAAGAGGAAGACGAGCTGCAGATGGCGCTCAAGTTGAGCCTGCAGGAGGAGGAGCGGAAGAAGGCCCCCGCGCAAGCGTCCACGTCCGGATCTTCCGGGGCAGCCGGCTCAGCCAGCGCTGGGCCTGCCAACCAGCAGCAGCAGCAGGCTCCGATCCAACCGATGCCATCGGGCACCACAGCTGCCACGGTGTCTCGCGTCCGGGCGCTGTACGATTTTGTGCCGTCGGAACCGGGCGAGCTGGAGTTCAAGAAGGGCGACGTCATCGCGGTCCTCGAGAGTGTGTACAAGGACTGGTGGCGGGGCTCGCTCAAGGGCAAGACGGGTATTTTCCCGTTGAACTACGTGGAGAAGCTTACGGACCCCACCCCGGATGAACTTCAGCGCGAGGCACAGATGGAGGCTGAGGTGTTTGCCGAGATCAAGAATGTGGAGAAGCTGTTGACCTTGCTGAGTGCCAGCAACACTGCTCCGAGGGAGGAGGATAATGAGGAGATCTCGGTGCGTAGAACTGTGTCCGTTTTCTATCTAACACGTCTGACTAACCATCCGTGGCAGAAACTCTACCATCAAACATTGGCTATCCGCCCGAAGCTTATCAAGCTCATCGAGAAATACTCGCAGAGGAAAGGTGTGTGGCTTTTCTGTTCCACATCCCTTCTTACTTAACCGGGGGCTAACCGAACTAGACGATTTCACGCAACTCAACGAGAAGTTCATCAAAGCCAGGAGGGACTACGAGGCCCTGCTGGAGTCGTCCATGGCCCACCCCCCGGGGCCGACGTACCACCAATACGCAATGCGCCCCCAGGTCCCGCAAGGCTACCCACCCCCCGGCCCGGGGTACGGAGCACCACCTCCGCAGCAACAGCAGCAGCAGCAGCAGCAGCAGCAGCCGCCGCCGCAAGACCCGCAGCGCTTCTACACCCCGGCGCCCGGTCAAGGTACGCTCTCGGTTGAGCTAGGAAATTAAACGTAAAAGGGGATCTGTTGTAGCTGATTAGCTGATGTAAATAACGATAGAACCATCCCAATATCCTCCTTCCTCTCCACCTCCCAATAACTTCCAGCGGCCCGGCCCGGGAACCACTCCTGCTCCCTTTTATGTAGCAGGCGCCGAGGTTCCTTCTCAGCAGCCCGGCCAGTCGGTACCGCAACAAGCGCCGCCGCAACAGCAGCAGCACCAACAGCAGCATCCCCCACAGCCGCAGCAACAACCCCCGCAGCCGCAATACAACGCCCAGCGCCCCCCCGAGCAGCAACGAATTCCATCCGCCGGCAAGCTCCCAGCCCCCCTGCAAACATCCACCTCTCCTCCCCCAGCAAGCCAC